CGAAACTCAAAAATTCGGCCCGAAAAAAAAAACGACAGTGGTACCCCTTACGTTTTTTTTTTGGGGCGAAAAATTAAGTTTCTCCAATCTTCCTAAATTCTGATAGAGGGCCATGAGACTTAGACCTGAGTGCAAAAATGGAGGCTCTAGCCCCTTCCAGAGCTGAGATATCGAAACTCAAAAATTCGGCCCGAAAAAAAAAACGACAGTGGTACCCCTTACGTTTTTTTTTTGGGCGAAAAATTAAGTTTCTCCAATCTTCCCAAATTCTGATAGAGGGCCATGAGACTTAGACCTGAGTGCAAAAATGGAGGCTCTAGCCCCTTCCAGAGCTGAGATATCGAAACTCAAAAATTCGGCCCGAAAAAAAAAACGACAGTGGTACCCCTTACGTTTTTTTTTTGGGCGAAAAATTAAGTTTCTCCAATCTTCCCAAATTCTGATAGAGGGCCATGAGACTTAGACCTGAGTGCAAAAATGGAGGCTCTAGCCCCTTCCAGAGCTGAGATATCGAAACTCAAAAATTCGGCCCGAAAAAAAAAACGACAGTGGTACGTACCCCTTACGTTTTTTTTTTTTTTGGGCGAAAAATTAAGTTTCTCCAATCTTCCCAAATTCTGATAGAGGGCCATGAGACTTAGACCTGAGTGCAAAAATGGAGGCTCTAGCCCCTTCCAGAGCTGAGATATCGAAACTCAAAAATTCGGCCCGAAAAAAAAAACGACAGTGGTACCCCTTACGTTTTTTTTTTGGGGCGAAAAATTAAGTTTCTCCAATCTTCCCAAATTCTGATAGAGGGCCATGAGACTTAGACCTGAGTGCAAAAATGGAGGCTCTAGCCGCTTCCAGAGCTGAGATATCGAAACTCAAAAATTCGGCCCGAAAAAAAAACGACAGTGGTACCCCTTACGTTTTTTTTTTTTTGGGCGAAAAATTAAGTTTCTCCAATCTTCCCAAAACTCTGGATTCTGGTAGAGGGCCATGAGACTTAGACCTGAGTGCAAACATGGAGGCTCTAGCCCCTTCCAGAGCTGAGATATCGAAACTCAAAAATTCGGCCCGAAAAAAAAACGACAGTGGTACCCCTTATGTTTTTTTTTTTCGGGCGAAAAATTACGTTTCTCCAATCTTCCCAAAACTCTGGATTCTGATAGAGGGCCATGTAACTTAGACCTGAGTGCAAAAATGGAGGCTCTAGCCCCTTCCAGAGCTGAGATATCGAAACTCAAAAATTTGGCCCGAAAAAAAAACGACAGTGGTACCCCTTATGTTTTGTTTTTTTTCGGGCAAAAAATTAAGTTTCTCCAATCTTCCCAAAACTCTGCATTCTGATAGAGGGCCATGAGACTTAGACCTGAGTGCAAAAATGGAGGCTCTAGCCCCTTCCAGAGCTGAGATATCGAAACTCAAAAATTCGACCCGAAAAAAACAAACGACAGTTGTACCCCTTTCTTTTTTTTGGGTGGGGGGGCAAAAATTAAGTTTCTCCAATCTTCCCAAAACTCTGGATTCTGATAGAGGGCCATGAGACTTAAACCTGAGTTCAAAAATGGAGGCTCTAGACACTTCTAGAGCTGAGATATATCGAAACTCAAAAATTCGACCCAAAAAAAAAACGACAGTGGTACCCCTTTCGTTTTTTTTTTTCGGGCGAAAAATTAAGTTTCTCCAATCTTCTCAAAACTCTGGATTCTGATAGAGGGCCATGAGACTTTGACCTGAGTGCAAAAATGGAGGCTCTAGCCCCTTCCAGAGCTGAGATATCGAAACTCAAAAAAACGTGCGTGCGTGCGTGCGTGCGTGCGTGCGTGCGCGCGTGCGCACAGTAGTGCAGTGCCAGATCAGTGCTGTGTGTAATAAGCCCAGCATTGTTTATGTGGATGAGTGCGTTTTGGTGCTGACTGTGTCCTTTTCACATCCGGTCCTCCACTCCTCCAGCACCTGACTGCCAACACTCACTTCAGTCCCTAATATGAAGAAATGTTGTGATGGATCCGTGTCAATATCGGGATTCTGATAACACCTGGTTTGGCCTATACATCCTTTAACATTCCCCGTTATTTAAGCCTCTAAAAGTGTGTGTTGTGTACCGTTATAACCGATCTTCAGGCAGTTTCATGGGATTTATGTAACATGTTGGCCCCCCCTTTTCTTGTAGGGAAAGTGTTGAATATTTATAATGGCATAAATGCTAAGTGGGATCTCCATATCTCAGCTCTGGACGGGTCTAGAGACTCCATTTTGGCACTCAGGTCTAAGTCCCATGGCCTTCCATCAGAATCCAGAGTTTTGAGAAGATTGGAGAAACTTATTTTTTCGCACCGGAAAAAAAATGACAGGGGTACCACTAATTTTTAGTTTCTCCAATCTTCCCAAAACTCTGGATTCTGATAGAGGGCCATGAGACTATAGAGCCTCCATTTTTGCACTCAGGTCTAAATCCCAGGCCCTCTATTTACAGTATATGTACTTACACAAGAAAGTAGCAAGGTAACTTCATGGGTTAATGTTAGTTTTAGGGGACGGTTCAGATTTAGTACCAATTTAAGGTTAGCTAGCTAGTTAGTCAGCTATTTATCAAAATTATGGACACTACAGAACACTACAATAAAGTGTTTCCAGACTAGTTATAAAGGAATAGAGCTAGAAATATACTTCTGCTGAACTTCTTGTTCACAAAAGAAGTAATTACACAAAAAAAGTAATTTTGAAGAATATGGGTAACCAAACAGTTTACTTAAGTCAATGGGGCCCATCATCGGTTTCCGACTTTCTTCAAAATGACTTATTTTGTGTTCAACAGAAGAAGGTCATTCATACAGGTTTGGAAAAACTTTGATGACAGACAGAATTTTCATTTTTGGGTGAACTATCCCTTTAAGAAAACCTCTGACTGCCAGATTCAACCGGATTCAACCAATCACATTCTGAGAAAACAAGATTGCGTAATCACCGGACGAGACGTCACATATCCCAGAATACTGTGCTGCTTTCCTTGCGAACAGAAATGGCGTCGAGGGCACCAGGTAAAATGTTTACAGATTTATTTATTTTTTAAATTACGAACTTATGAATTTGTTGTCAGCAAGTTAAAGAGTTTTTTTATAACATCTCCTTTCTGCGCTATTAGAATGACTGTTGGCGTCGTTGTCTGTTTTGTCATGTAAATCACTGATGTCCTCTACTGAGTGAGTGTCCTCGTCTGCACTAGTCGAAATACGTTTTTATTCCCACGTCGCCTGTAATACCTACTTTTGTGTGTACGCGTGCGCGAGTGTTTTAATTATAAGAGATCATTTAATTCTGAGTGTAGAGACCCATAACTGAATCTCATGTCAGCTGTGACCGTTTGTCAGAGATTTTTCTGCTTTAAATGGATAGCTCCCCCAAAAAAGAAAATTATCACTAAGTTGTTCTAAACCTGTATGAGTTTCTTTGTTCTGTTGAACACAAAATAAGATATTTTGGAAGTAATATGGAAGTACTTCTTCCATGAAATACTATGGAAGTGAATGGCTACCATCAGCCATTCACTTAGGGTGAGTGATGTCAATTTTGGGTGGCCTATCCTCTTAATAACCTAGTCAACACTTGAAAGTCACCATAAACTTCACATTTAAGTCATTTGTTTCTGTACAGCTGCAACCGGCCGGCTCCTGTTGGGCTTCAGAAAGTGGTACTACAACGCATGCGGTTTCAACAAACTTGGTAAGAACTGCCATCGCGTTACCATGCAGACAATGCAATGTTTTGAAATTGTGACCTTCAAGAAGTATATGGTATGCAAATGTATTCATTTCTTCCTCATGTCATGTAGGTTTGATGCGGGACGACACCATCAACGAGGACAGTGACGTGAAAGAGGCCATTCGTCGGCTTCCAGAACCGGTTTACAACGACAGGATGTTTCGCATCAAGAGAGCTCTGGATCTTTCCATGAAGCAACAGGTTCTTCCCAAGGAGCAGTGGACTAATTTTGAGGAGGTGGGAAAGAGATTGTCCTGGGGCTTTTATTAAAGTTTGATATTCCTTAAAGGACAACTCCAGTGCAAAATGAACCAAGGTGTACACTGGTTAGCTCCCCAGCCAGAGACACCACATCCAACCCTGGTATCAATTCAAAAGAATTTTTTTACCTAATGGGAGTTGTTTAGCTAGAGGACAGACTGATCTCATGATGTCATGTTGCAGAGGAAGTGAAGGGGAAGGGCCATTCAGTCCAATCATTCAGTAACAGGGCATGCTAGTTGCACCCACCAACAGCACCCAGAGCAGACACCCGACCTAAAGTTTTTATATTTAAAAAATTAAATAATAATAGAAAATAAGGTTATTGATATTTATACATAATATTTTATGAATTGTTACTTATAGGAAGAAAAAGGAAGGGAATGCTCATAATTCTATAATAATAATATCTATTTCATCTTCCCTACTACCACCACCCTCTCTGATAAATATCATAAAGATTATAGCAATAGTGATAAAATACAGATTATAAATCTTTATTTTATTTTAAACAGCACTTTTATTTCCAACATACCCTCATTCATGTCTGTTTTGAGGTGACCATAGACCTCCATTATATGACTGGCAAACAAGACCGGTTTGACCTAAAAATATAAAAATTGAAACTACTGTGGAAACAGACACCTACATCTTCGATGCCCTTAAGGAAAGCTAAAACATACCAAAAATTAATTTCAAAGTGAACTATCCCTTTAAGCACCTTTCAGATATAAGCGGTTTTAACTGCTGTTCATTCTTCCCCGCAGGATGTTCCTTACCTCGAGCCGTATCTGGTGGAGGTTATCCGTGAAAAGAAGGAAAGAGAGGAGTGGGCGAAGAAGTAGGATGAGGCCAAAGCTCCTGTTTGATGTGGCGTCTGGTGTCTTCTATTTAAGAGTAAATGTATTATGTGATTAGTCCCTATACCTATTAAAATGTCTTTTCTGACAAAAGTCTGCAAATGCCTGTAGTGTTTTTTTTTCCTTTGAGTAAAAAAAGGCCATTTAATTAAATATGCAATTGTTCTTAAGGTAGGTGTTTGTTATTTACAAAATAACTCACATTTTACAAGGCATAGTACAATTTCATGGTTAACTTGGACAATAAACTGAGATCAAGCTCAATCACAATCCTGTTATGGATAGTCGCAAATGTTTTAAATACTTTATTAGACATTGTCTAATAGAGATGTGCATGTCTTGCAGACACTGAACTCTGTTTCTGTTATGTTTAGCCTTCTTGAATATTAAGGTATTTTCAAACATTAATTTTCCACTTTGAATTAATGTACAAACACAAAGGCAGTTATTTTTAAAGAGGTTTAATAGAATATTTTTACTAAGTATTGAATAAAGGTCATAATTGATTCCAATATCTATACTGGTGTCTTGGATAAAAATTACAAATTTTATCTCCAGGGGAGAAAAAATATCCATTAAACATAACAGTAATTGAAAGCTAATCCTAAAGTGCAAATTATCGCATTTTTTATTTAATTGCAGACCATTAAAAAATAAGTTAACCTTAAACAAGTTACATTTAACTATAATCAAAGCTGAATTTTTCAGCTGAAGAAATATGTCTTATAAATGTTGAAAACATACATCCTAAGTTCTCGTTCATTTTGAACGTCTCACTCCATCATTCTCTGCTCTCTCTGTTGATTAACACTATTGACAGTGTCAATGAAGTTCCCTACGACACTGTTGACCGATCGCAACATGGAGACTCCCAGTTCGTTGCTGGTCTCGTTGATGTCAGGATCGTAGGCTCCAAATAATGGAGTGCAGACTTCTATGTGTCTTTTCCCCTCCCTCTCTAAAATACCAACAAGTTCAGTCCTGGCTAGCTGGAACTTCTCCCTGTCGTAGTTTGTCAGTGTCCCATCGTCCAGCGGGTAGGTGGCACCTTCAGGATAACAGTCACGAGGGACGGGCAGCTCAATGTATCTGTGGCACAAAGTCAGAAGTAAACACTCAAATCGCTAAAAAGTTCAAAGACATACGTGCTTTTACAAAGTTTTGGTTTTGGCCTCTTTTTCATGCTTAAATGTTTAAAAACATTATGTCCCCCTGTCTATGTTGGGACGCAATGAGGGAGTTCAGAAACAGTGACACTGATATAGAGAATAACTCCCGCTGGAGCGACTTTGTTGCTGTTTGAGCATGAAAAAGTTACAAAGCAGAGAGTTGAACATGTAAAAAAGTCTAATATGACCCCAATGAGCACACAGTCTTACTGTACCTCAAAGCAGGAAAACCCAGCGCCAGCGTATTGAAAAGAATGCGCAGGGCAGCGATGCTCAGGGGATTACCCAGGATCTTCAGTTCCTGTAGTGCGTGACAGGGTCTCAGTGCTTGTGTGAACATATCCAGGGTCTCGTCGTCCAGTCCGCACTCCTCCACACCCAGACTCGTGAGTGTGGCAGAACAGCGATACAGAAGCTTCCTGAAGGGGTTGGGGAAGACGTCTGCCACCGCATGACCACTCAGGTCCAACTTCACGATGTGCTCACTGTGCAGGCTGTTGGCGAAGTACACCATGTCCACTGCGCTGAGACTACAGTTCGCTAACTCGATAACCTGCAGCGGAGTGTTTAGTGGACTGGTGAAACAAACAGATTCATGTTACTCAAAACAAGTGTTTTAAAAATGATCTAAAATAAGATAATAGCATAATGAAATGTACACTAAATGCAGCTAATAATAGGCATGCTATTATTGCATTGCATACTATAATATCAAAACTGTTAATATTTAAAAAATAAAAGCATTTTTAAAATAATTTGGCAAAAAGCTGCATTAAAATAGCTGAAAAAAATCTCTCTTTTTTTGAAAATTTGTTTCTCTGCAAATTTGACAGGATTATTGATGAATATTATTACAATTTAGTTTTTCATTTCAATATTATTGTAAAATGACATTTAATCCTGTGATCAAAGCTGAATTTTCAGCATCATTACTCCAGTCTTCGTCGTCACATGATCCTTCAGGAATCACTCTAATATGATGATTTTTCTATTATCAATGTTGAAAGCGCTGCGCTGAATATGATTCATATAAAATGAATAAAAGTATTAATATCATGGTGCAGATCGTGTTTTGGCACCTGTATGACATGTGATGTTGTGACTGTTATAAGACACACTGCTATTTACAGCGAATGTAGAACACACTGTTTTGCCAGTCATGCCCTGGCCTACTTAGAGTTCGCAATGGGACAGCTGTCTGCATTCTTACAGTCACACAACAAACAGGGTGCGATTTCAACAACAATAACAGGTTTATTATCAACCCATGTTGTCTAGTCTAGTGTGTTGTTGAATCGCTCCCTGTTTACAAACCCTCAATAAGATTCTCAGATCTAACATTTAAAGGGATACTCCACCAAAATATGAAAATTCTGTCATCATTTACTCACCCTTAAGTTGTTGCAAACCTGTGAGTTTCTTCCTTTTGCTAAACACAAAGGAAGATATTTTGAAGAATGATTATGGAATTAGACTAAAAAAGTACCCGAAAGCAGAAACAGGTACAACTTTTACACAGTGGAAAACCAAACAAAGGCAAGCCGAGTCGAGCTGATACTGATGGCTTGAGGGTGAGTAAATTATGGGATAATTTACATTTTGGGGTGAACTATTCCAACCGTTTACCTCAGCAGTCTCCTCAGATGTCCTGTAAGAGTGGAAAAGCCCAGATAAAGCTCTCTCAGCTCAGTCAGTTTGCTCATCAGCTCTCCCAGAACTCCCATGAGCCCCTCGTCATCCGGGCCCAACCGGTGCACGTTCAACGCCTGCGCAGGAAGGGTGATGGAGCGCAGCTTGGGGAACTTCAACTGGGAGAACATCACTTCGATGTGTGGAGCCTCCAGATGTACGTTGTGTACCACTTCTAGCTTCTGCAAGCCGTGTGACTCCACCAGCTTCAGGAGGTAAAACAGGTCCCTGAGGCTCAACGAATCCACACGCAGGCCCAGGAAGTGCAGTTTTAACGGGCAATGTCTGCGAAGCAACAAAGCCTGAGCCACAACCTCGTTGTTCCGTCCAGTAACAAAAGCATCCATGCGAACGTCTACCTCCACTTCAAACGCTGATGGTGCTGCTTGACCATCTTGCATGGATGCCATAGTCTCGTAGCACATGCGGGTGAGAAGCTCGGTTCGTGCCCAACGCCCGAGGGTCCGTCCACAGGGACATACCTGGTGTTCAGTGTCTTGCAGACCCATTATATCCACCACACATAGCTTTTTAGCATACGTGCTTGGAGCTTGAAACACATAGTCCCTCAGACCTGTGAGAAGGGCCTCCAAACAGAGCCTGCATGTGCGGGACGTGAGATCCTCCGGACAGTCCACCGTTCGGCCTAACAGTTTATTCAAGTTAATCTCTGTCAGAGGCCACGTCTGGACCAAGTCGTGGAGCACTGATGCCTCCTCGCGCAGATAACTGGCCTTGAAGAGGATTGGGTAGAGATTGCAAGACAAGCAGTGGAGGTTCTGACACGCGTTTGTGCCGGTTTGGACAAAGCCCTCGGCTGCTAGGAACTTCAAGCTTTTCATGGTTTTTTGTCAGCTCCGAAGATCAAGGAGACTTCATAGAGCTGTCAGCCTTTAGGAGTTGTGGTGTGTTTCTTCTGCCCTCTTTCAGCCAACATATACCTATACGTCAACTCAAGAAGAGAGCCGTACTTAGCGAGAGCACGAGGAGGGAGGCAGTCGAGAGGGGGTTAGTTATTTATAGAAGCAGCTGTCTCATACTCTCATGGTTATCAGACAGGGGTTAAACAGTCATTAGATTCCGGACGGCTGCTAAGGAAAAAGAAGAAGTCTCTTACCTGTGCTTATTGACCATCAGACAGAAAAGGGGAAAAGATGATGAGAATAATAATAAGATTATTCTAAGGAGTAGAATATTCTAAAGGAGTAATTCACTTAAAAAAAAAAAACTTTTGCTGATAATTTACTCACCCCCATGTCATCCAAGATGTCCATGTCTTTCTTTCTTCAGTCGAAAAGAAATTAAGGTTTTTGATGAAAACATTCCAGGATTTTTCTCCATATAAAGGAATTCAATGGGTCCAAATGGTTCAAGCTCCAAAAGACGATTTTTAAACGATTCAAGACGATGAATAAGGGTCTTATCAACCGAAAAGATAGATAATTTAAAAATTTTTTAAAAAGTTTAAGTTTTATAAGCACAAACGCTCGTCTTGCTCTGTTCTGTGATGCACGTTCGTGACTCTCCTGTTCGAACTCGTTCATCAAAATCAACAAATCTTTTTGAGTTATTTGGTTCATTCAACGAACAAAATGAACAAATTGACTTGGAAAAAGTTTGAGAGTCACGAACGCGCATCACAGAACAGAGCAAGATGAGCGTTTGTGCTTATAAAACTTTTTTTATTAAATGAGCGATCGTTTCACTTGATAAGACATCGTCTTTTCGAGTTGTGGTGTGTCATCATCGTCTTATTAAGATTCATCGTCTGAAATCGTTTAAAGCCTTTTGAACAGTTTGCACAGAAAGTAAGAAAATCCCTTATGAGCCCATATGAGGCCACATACATGTGAAACTCAAAAAATTAGAATATTGTGCAAAAAGTTAATGTATTTTAGTCATTCAAGTTAAAAGGTGAAACTAATATATTTAGTATATATACTTATATACATATGCATGATTGTACTTTTCAGAGGGCTGAGATTTCTGTATTTAAAATACTCTTTTTTTATTGATTTCATGTAATATTCTAATTTTCTGAGATTTTGAAATTGGGGTTTTCATAAGCTGTAAGCCATCAGCAAAATTAAAACTTTTGCACGATATTCTAATTTTTCCAGTTTCACCTGTACAGTTAAAATTAGGCTTGAAAACCTTGTGGACGGGGACACGGGGGGGGGGCACATGGGACATGTCCCCACCACTTTTGAAACATCTACGTGGCACAGATGTACCAATGCAAATAAAACATCTCCAGTTAACAGCATTCGTTTCATTTGTTTGTTAAATGGGATTCTCCATTATTCTCTCTGGTGGCAGTGTTACTACAAATAACAGATAAGACTTAGACAGAAAAAAACACTATTTTTTTTTTTTTAGAAAAAGATCCAACTTTACAGAACATTTGACAAGATGACAGAGACACTGTTTGAGAAGTAATTTCCTTTCAAAACTTGACTTACCTCGCAGTGCACAGTATTGCTCTACTTCTGGATCTCCACCACATATGATCCTAGAGTTAAACAGACAAAACAAATCATTAAAACTTTGGACATCCAATTAAAACAATGGACAACCACTTCCCCCCATTTTCCACCTTCGTTTCCCACCCTCTGTTTTCAAAACCAGTGTTGGGGCTGCGCTCAAAGACCCTGCTGTTCTGGCTGCCGGCCATATGCCTTTCACACAGTGATGAAAACTCCAGGCTACAATTGAGAGAATGAGAGCAAAGGAAAAAGATGTGCGAGACCCAACACCATCTTAATAGAACGCTGAGAACGACAGTGTAGTGTGGAGAGGAGAGGACCGTTCGATGCATGCATGCTTTCAAAAACTCTAAATATGAATGATCAAGACAATTTACATTGATTTGTGTTGATGACTCACATTTACATTTATTCACTGCAGTTCTAACAGTGCAAGCTAATGCAAATTTTCAGTTCATTTGACGTTTCAGTCACTATATTCCACTCAAACAATAGGAACACTTGCTATTTGTCCAGCATTTTATCATCTATAAAAAAAACGTATTGGTACTTATCATTTCATACAAATAAAGACAAACCTAAAGTGCAAAATTAGGAAGGAAGGGTTTCATTTCATTAGTAGCCTACATTCTGTATAACAATTTTTAAGTTGTTATAACATGTTGTAATGTTCCATGATGATTAAAAGTTGAGATGAAGATGGCTGTCGTACTCATCAACCAATCAACACTTTACAGGTTTAACATGACCAAGCACTTATAGTGTAGTGTACAGTGACAGTTAACACATCTGAACTGCTTTACCTGCTTGTTTCTGTCCACTTCACCGATGCAGTCCTTGAAAGCATCACCTTTTGCGACACAAAAGTCCATTTAATACACATTTAATGTAGGCTAATAGCTAGACCTACATGCCAGAAATAATGAAGATGGCTGCACACTTACCCTCTGGGTTTTCTCTTCGTTTGCACGCTAGAAAAATAAATAAAACAAGAATGAGCATTAAGTAGCTTGATATTGCTGGAGATATTGAATCGTCTGGCATGTTATTCCCAAAGTGTCTTACCAGGTTTTTCGATTGCAGTTTTCACATTCATCTAATGGAATAAATTAACGAGCTGCCATTTTAGGAACAGGAATGGAGTGGGATATGATATGCCTGTTTCCATTGAAGTCTGTCTATGTTCTCGAAATGAAGTTTGAGAAACTCTCCTGTGAGGATTTGCTACATGGAAGAAGCAGCGCAACTCAACTAACACTCCCTCTGGGCATCCTTCAGTATGAGCACAATATATCCTCACTCTACAGTCTTGTAAAATTTGCATGAGCATTATTTTCCAAGCCTTCGAATATATTCCGGAACTACCTTTTCGGTGCTCGTGTCTCTTCTTAAAGAAGAACGTTTAATAAAAAGATTTGATTCGCTCAAATTGAAAACAACATGAATATTTCAAATGAATATATATTTTAGTATTGAGATACCTCTATCCAATTTAACATCAGCACGAATTCAGTATTAAAGGGGGAAAGTTAACTTTGCAACATTTGACTATACAAAAATAACAGCTGCATAAATAAATTAAATTAGTAAATTAAATAGTCATCATTACGTTGTAGCGCCCTCTCGTGGCGTGTCGAAATACAGCAAGATCTCACGAAATAAAATGTGATCAGTTTTTAAACTTTTTTCTCTGCAAGACTGCAACATCACAATTTTTAGCAACTCCAAAAAGTGATGACAATTACTTTACAACTTTACATAAGCTTTTTGTCAGTTTCATTAATGGTATGATGATTAATATTGTTAGCCGATTGATATTAATAATATTAAGTGTCATGCTCATTCTGATTAAAGATCATTTAATAGGAGAGATGGTCATAGGGACATACAGTCTCATCCATTCCTAAAGCATGCGGTTATCAATATCAGTTGATTAAACTGGATTCTGTTGCCCACTACAAATCAGTGTATTATTGGTTAAAGGGTTAGTTCACCCAAAAATGAAAATTCTGTCAGTATTTACTCACCCTCATGTTGTTCCAAACCTCTTATGTGTTTATTTGTTCTGCTGAACACAAAGGAAGATATTTGGAAGAATGTTTTAATCAAACAGATCTCATTCCCCATTGACTACCATAGTATGTAGCCTATTTTTTCCTACTATGGTAGTCAATGGGGAATGAGATCTGTTTGATTAAAACATTCTCAGGATATAGCCTTTTTTATTTTTGAGTCATTTTGCAATTTTAGTCGTTTAGCAATTTTGCAAACAATATGTTTAAATTATTACAGTTGATTTGTGTGATTAAAAAAAAGAGAGATAAACATGAAAGGTACATCAAATTAAACACAATGTAAATAAAGGTATTTGATTAAACCCATTCATGCTTTTACCTTCTGTGTAAAATACACTCCACACAGCATGCTCACTAGTTAAATTGGGCTTTTTATTTGCTCGTATGATCATTTGTCTTGGTTCAGGTCACAGAAAAACATATAACTTTCTTATTTTTCTGGTTGTCATTCTGGTATGTATACACATTTATCTTTGTTTACATAACCAAAGACTCAGATGGATATCTATAAGGTATTTAAAGAATACATTAACTTACCTCAAATCTTCCTATTTAATGCATAATTAAAAATGCATTATAATATTTGCAATTTCTTTTGAAATTGTTTCTCGTGTGTATTATTTATAATGTATGATAACTGTTGTTACAATTATTCATGAGACCTTACACTGCATTATGAGGTGCATTACAAGGCACAATAAATGCATTGAAAATTAGGGCTGTGCAAAGATTAATTGTGAATAATTGCATCCAAAATAAAAGTTTGTGTAATAAACGTGTGTGTGTGCTGTGTATAATTATTTTGTATATATAAATACATATGCATACATGTTTGTAATTATTTAAGAATTATTTGTACGTAAATACTGTGTGTGTGTGTGTGTGTGTGTGTGTATATGTATATATATATATATATATATATATATACACATACATAAGCTATATTATATATAAATATTTTACATATGAACAACACATTTTCTTATATATTATACATGCATGTGTGTGTATTTATATATTCAAAATAATTATACACAGCACACACAAATATTTTACATTTAATATAAATATATTAAACACAAACATTTATTTAGGATGCGATTAATCGAAATTAATCTTTGCACAGCCCTATTGAAAATACTTCTAAAATGCATTATACAACGGCTTTAAAGTAAAGTGTTAATCATAAATGGCTTTCCAGAATTAATCACTCATCAGATACTTAGATATACTTAGAATAATCAGAATTATTATTTTTACCCCCTTCGAGTGGATTATTGTGAATAAAATTTCAATAAAATAAAATATAGACAAAAATATACATTTAAAATTTAAATGAATCTGTTTTAATTAGTCAGTTGGAATCTGTTTCAGGCAAATCTTTAAGACACCGGCCCAGCACCTGAACAATTGTCACAGTCATGTTCAGTTTCTGTCTTTAGGTTTTTATAGTTTTCATAGTCTGACTTGTCTGAGTTCTAGAGTGCATTTCAATCTGCTCCCAAGTTGAGTAGTCAGGCCACTGATCAGGGCGTCGGCCATTTTAAGGGCTTCCTCAACCACAACACCCTTCCAGTGAACTGAAACATTCACTCCCTAAAAACTCCCACAATGCACAGAGAAACCCAGGGATAATTTATATAACATGAAATGAAGCATGTATATGTAATAATGTAAGGTCGATGCACATAAAGTTAGCAGTGTCCCAATAGCAGCATCCGAAATCACATACTTCCCTACTATATAGTTGGACGAAAAAAGTATCAAATTCACAGTACTCATAAAAGAGTCGGTGAAAAGTACCCTGATGACCTTCTACTTCCGAATTGTGAGAGATTCTGAAGTGTTTATATGATGGACACTTTAATATCCCATGAGGCCACTGGAGAGGATTTGTGAATGACAGTGATGCTGGTAGGTCACATGATAATGACATCATGGCGAATGTAGTACGTCCAGATTGCATTCATACTACACATACTTTTTTAGTGAATAAGTAATTACTTATTCAAAACAAGTACCGAGAGAGTATGTGATTTCGGAGTCAGAGTCCTTACTAGTGTCCAAATTAGTGTACACCATATACTGGTTCATGACCTAGGAAGCGAGGGCTGATTGAGATGCACCCCAAGTTATTCATTAGATGTCATGGTTCCTAATTAGTTCTCACCTGTTCTGTTGATCATACTCCTCCTGTGTCTTTTGTTCATGGTCTTGTGTTAACATTAGGATGGTAAACGTTGGTTGAAAACACATTTGGGAAATAAACAAGTACAAAACATGAATGAATTTATAGATGCCTGAAAAGGGAGTCGCATATGGACACTCTGAATTAAATACAAATTAACTTTGTATTCAAATGTGACCTCTGTGTCGTAATGTCGAATACAGCGGCTTATGTGTTTAACAGGCGTTCTGAGGCTCCTCTGGAAAATAAGAGCTCGGGAGTATTCAGTTACAAATGTAATTGTAGAAAATATTCGATGGCCAATACCTCACATATCCTAATTCAAGCAGAACAGTTGAGTTTTTGAAAGTGGACTGAAAAGGCAAAAAGTTCAGTTCAGTCTGAATGTACAGTGATTTTAAGGGTTAACTTCACCCAACAGTTTCTTTGATGGCAACAGCAGGTGTTGGTCCAATATGAGTCCAGACGTAGCCTTTATCAGGACGGACTGGTATTGTTGGGAAAGGGCAACTTCTTGATTTGAAATACTCTGATGGAGCATGACAGACAAACTCCAGGTATTCCATTTTTCTTGGCAAGTCCTCTTCAGGGCCTAAGCAAAGAAATAAATGTGTTTATGGAGCTATTAAATAAATAAATCTTGTTTGAAATTAGGATATATGACTGGACCAATATATTCCGGTTTATCAATTCAATTCAAATATCCTTTAACAAATAATTCACATTACATTTGTCAGCAAGGAACATAAGAATTTATTTCAGCAGGAACTTACCAAGGATGTATGTGCCTGGATCAAATCGATCTCGAGGACTGGCCTGAGTTGGGATCAGCCAAGTTAACGCAGCACTTTTCTCACAGTACTGGTCCTGGACAAAACCACGAATCTGTGCGTAATACGGTTTACCGTCATCCTCGTCTATTACTTTAATGACATCTCCTATTTGATAATAGACACCCTGAACACAAAACGTACAGGTTAGATAGGAAGTGGCAGATAAAACAAGCATTTTGAATAGTAGAGGGGAGTGGGTACCTTGTAAAACATGGACTCCGATGTGATGATTGTTGACACAGACTCTGGTGCTTTGATAGGCTATGGGACATGTAGAAAGGAAGGAAGTATAAATACCATTGAACCATTGCATTAAACAACCTAAGTGAAAAACACTTACATTTTTTAATTTAAAAATATGTCGTCTGCCCTTTCCTTTGGTCGAGACTTTTTTCTCAGATGCTGGTGCTTTGTACTTGGTGCTCCGTAACCGAGCGGAGCGTCTGTGGATTTCCTGTTTGGACTATAACATAAAAAAGAAAAAAATATATAGTACCGGTTGATTTGTTTACAAACACTGTACAGAAAATATGGTAGAATTGTTTTGACAGTTGTGTCGTAAATATGGCAACGCCCAGAAGGGGGCGACCCGCTCCGTGTACAATAAATATCACCAATTTGCAACAATTTAATGATATATCTTTCAACTATATTAATATCTTTACAAAAAATGTCTTAAACCTTTTTTTAAAAAAGAGCTTTTTAACAAGTAAACATGGGAGCGATGTTGTGTTTGCAAGTGCTTGATTATAAATGGTGTACCGTGTAGCTTGAAGTCTAAATGATAGGTTACGTAAATTAGATGTTAGAACGCAATTTAAGCAAGATTTCAAACCTGTTTTCCTCCGCCATTATTCTGCTGGATGGTGGATGAAGCAGATGCTCCGGATCCTCCACTCGTTACAATTTTACCCGTGCAGTTGTTACACAAAATTTCCCCCTGGTTTCCTTTTTTCCACATGGAAGAAGAGTTCGTCTTGCATACAGCACAACATGGTTTTAGACCAAGAGGCATGTTTGCTGACCACAAGCAGCAGCCTGGCAAGGTTGCGTTTACAACGGTCTTGCGAAGTTAATTCTGAACTAACGTTAAACCGTCGTGTTTTTCCTATAGAATGCGATCACAGCCAAAAATCTACAATAAATGGCGAATTCGAAGAAATATGATCATTCGTTTAACCTCAAATAGACATCTTTCATTTTGAAAACAATGAATGATGGGTCCCGTATGTTTGGTTTTATCAAGCATAAGAAAAAATCTTCCCGGATACGAAATATGCCAATGTAAAATAAAAGTCCTGACTGGACGATACTTATTTTCAAAATAAAGGTTTAAAAACTGTCTGTGAAAACATTTCACTCCAGGGCGTTGTTCGTTGCCATTTAATTTTAAGCAAGCAAGTACAATATGTAGCATTACTGTTTTTTTCATGAACCACAACAAATAGGAGAGCTTTCTTTTAAACTTTTTAATCCGATCAAACCTTCTCCAATACTTTCTGTTTATTGGCTACACATCAAACAAACTGGGAATGTATCAAGTATAGTCTATGAGTGTGCAAATGACAATTCAATGTTAATGGTCACGTTAAAAAAAAAAAAAAAAAAAAAACTCAAATCAAATCACAAAAATACCACCACCATACACTTTAGGCAAAAAAAGAGAGAAACAAATCATCCAAACTTCAACCATTTTTACACACAACAGTCAGATTAAGATGTAAAATCTGGTCATCGCTTAAAACACAAGATGATAAACTGCTCATCAATTCCAATGTAAAATGTATCTGAAAGAAAAAAAAGCCAAACTAAATGCACCAACTCTACATTTGATATTCTTTCTTTCCCGTTATATCATTCGGTCATTAAAACTGTAATGAGAGGGCATCAAAAAAAAAATGGCAACCTATTCAGTGTAATAGAAAACATGAGGCTGTTGTCAACATGAAACAAAGACTATCTAACCAGGGTAATATGTAAGGTTGATTGTATTTGATTGACACAGCAAACTCCAACTTAATTAGGCAACATGTACATAAATAAGAAAAAGTACAAAAAGGCACACATGAGCACAGTAGAATTTTAAAAAATAAAAATAATAAACAACAATCTCTTCCTCACATCTATAAACTTCCAACAATATATCAGTATTAGAAATCAAACTGGTATTTATGACTCTTAGATCATTATTCTGGTTTAAATGACACTTTAAGATATTGACAGGATCAGAGTTTGTTTTAAAATGCATTTTATTTTTTTGTGGTTCTCAATACCACGCCATGTAAATCTGACCATGTAAATCTGAAATTGCATTTAAACTTGAATATTTTTTGAAGTTGTGTTTACTGAACAGGAGGTTTTGTCAAAGGTGTTAATTAGATGTATTATTTTGGCCACATATCCTGTACATCCAACAGGAGCATATAGAACGTTTTTTGTTGTTAATGATAATGACTTCCTTTGTTTCTGATTGTGGCACACATATGAAATCAGGTAAACCACTGTTTTTATCTCTCTCTATTTCTTCGGTAGCCCTGTGCAGTGTCTTTATGGATATATCCATGAGCCCAATGAAATGCACAACCCTGGATATCAGAGGTGTTGTGTGTAGTAGTCACAAAAGATAAGTATCAATGCTATCAAATTTTCATTTATATCGTGTTCCCTTTCTGCAGCAAACAACATTTCACACTGCTCAAACACTTCTCATTTATAATATGTGAAATGTGCACACCAATTGCATTACATATGGCATAGAAAGAACATTAGTGTTTTTAAATAAAGCATTAGATTGGCATTGCTAAGTAAAAGGGATGCTGTAGAATAAAAGTAAAATAATGTTCAGGGATGGTTGCATAAACATAGCCATTGTGTGTAGACAGTGTCTTAAGTTCAAGTATGACCCACTAGCAGTCAGTCTTAGTTTTCGGTATCAAATTAGGCAAATCTACATTTTAATGTAACTGATTCAAAAAAGCCATGAACAAAATAAATTTATGTCTAACTTGTAAGATTAGTCTTAGAGGTTTATGCAACCTGATGCAGGTCTTAATGTTGGCTTCACACTGGATGAATGCATTCACAAATTCATGTTTTCTTCTGCATGTAAACATTCCCATTTTTTCAGAAAGATACAACTATCAAAAATGTATTCATTTCACTCTTTATCTCATCTCTTTAAAAGAAAGAATGAATTTCCAATCTAATACAGATGGAGTTTTCTCTAATGGCACGCACAGCATGATTTCTGGCCTTGCTTACCTTAAAATCGGCATGAAATGAAACATTTCTATATGCATGTTATTAAAACTTATAGTGGACGATTAATTTTTTTTCTTTTGACCTCATAACTCAATCGTGATGTCATATTTTCAGGTGAAAATGACACGCCTCTCTTGATGATGCATGCTGGAATTCTCCAATCATTTAGCCCGCTTAAACTCCGCCCCTTTCTTACAAGCTTGCGTTCAGATCTCCCTCAATCCAATCAACAAACGATGGAAATAAAAGTCCTCGCCTTACATTTTTTCCTTTTCAAATCATTTCACTCAGATGTACGTCACAATATGGATGAAAAGATGGCACTTCTTTCCTTTCATTGCGACTTTAACACTTTGCAACATTCACTTATAAACCGCATGATCTTATGTGCACAGAAAAGGTTCTCACACAAAATTGCCACCTGATTCACAACAGATATGCACATAATTTTGCTCTTACTGCCAGATTATCATACATAAATATGCCTAAAGTTAGCAATAAGCATAACTATTGTCCTAACCATCTCCATACAGTGGCTTTCCGTACATAAAGACCTTTTATATAGGTCTAACATCTTTTTATCCAACTACTCCAGATCAAACTACAGTAAAACTACAAATAATAGCCGAGTCCCAAATAGACGCCTGTCTCTTTTGCACGCCTGGGGTCTCATTTATAAAACTGTGCGTAGGATCCTTTCTAAAAGTTTACATGCGTCCCAAAGCCAAAAATGGCGTACGCAAAAAGAAGAATGTGCGCACATGCCGCTCCTCCCCGAAATAGCCATCTATGGAGCTCACAACGCCTAGTTTAAATACGCATATCCTCATCTGCTTATCATTTGCATATGATTATTCATCCATGATACCATGTACCAAGGTAGCTACAAGATGTTAGGAAAATAGGAAATACAGATGTGCTGTGTCACAATAAATTATTATTGTTATTTTTTATAGTAGCCTATATCCTTGCCTTGTTTTTAAATCAAATAGTGTAAAATAGATTTCAGAGAAAGATTTTCTCAATCTTTTCCACTGGCCAAATAGTATTTTTAATTACTTTATGTTTTTAATGGAAACAGATAGACATGGTCGTGCCTTATTTGCATGGAACTATTTTCTCAGTCAATCTGATAATCATGATTAGCAATTATCTCTATTTAAAACATTTAAACCTTGCCAGAGTGAAAGTGTTCAAAAGCATTGCATCCACAACAAATATATATTTCTATTTATTGAATACAATTTTTTTTTTGTAACTTCTCCGTAATGATTTCATGTAGTTTAAGTGTTTAACTCCATTAATGAGAATGGCATATTTAATATAAATGTTTATATCAGAAGTAAAACATGCTGCATTTATTAAGACTCATGAAGATTAACGGTTTTACATCATCTGCCATTAGATTATAGTCTATATGTGCGTCAGTTTCACTAACGGCCCAACGCGCTTGCTGGAGCGGACATTTAAGCAGGGATGGATATTGTCTTCAAGTGAGTGAAATTATATTTGTACTCTATTATCTTTCTGTAGCCTATAGTCTATAATTTTCTTTAGATTTTTGGTCTAAAAGTGAGTTAACTCGAGCTCACCATCGGTGTCGCCAACTGCCTTTGTCTCCAGAATGTGCGTACGCACGGCTCAAAGTTTGCTTAAAGGTGCGCACATTCTCCCGTCAAGTTTGTTTTTTATAGATCATAACCTTTGCATGAAAACTAGTGTACGTACGTTTTCAGCCCCGTTTTGTGTGTATGCGCGCTTTATAAATGAGACCCCTGGTGTGGCTGCAGTGTTGGGTAAATAAAAGGCAAATCTTGTCCCGCCAAAGCCTACGTATTTTGATCGGTAAGTGATGCAGAATAGAGACTGCTGCCCTTGACAGGGTGCATAACGAGGAGAGAGAGAGAGAGAGAGAGAGAGAGAGAGAGAGAGAGAGAGAGAGAGAGAGAGAGAGAGAGAGAGAGAGAGAGAGAGAGAGAGAGAGAGAGAGCCCTAGCCGCGCACGCACTCTCAAGTCTTCAAACAACATGAGCGCTGTCTTGCTCTCTCTCCCTCGTGCTTTGCCGAAGTTACGACGTCACTCTGTAGGCCAAAACGCGGAAGTGAGTTAGCATTTTAGCACTACCGGTTCCCTCGCTCTAAAGTCTATGGGATTTTTGAATGGGTTTTTGCTAAATTGCCTGAAATAAGGTCTGTGGTGAACAAAGGCTCTAAATATTTTCACGTTTTGATCTAGGACATAGAACACACCAGTTATAACCTACTTGTGTTTTGTAAAACTTTTTTGTGTCTTAAAAAAAAACTTTATATAGGCTTCAAAATGTACACATTTTGGGTTAACTTGTAAAGATTATCTAGATAGACAAAACGTGTAAGGGTCACAACTTTTTGTTAAACACAGATATTATTTTTTGCGATTTTCCAAAAGTCTATGGGGAAAAATGCATAGCTTTTCGATCCAGCACCGCTAACTTCCGAGTTGTCCTACAAAGTGACGTCATCACTTAGGCACTCTATTGATACGATAGTAAAAGGTTGGACGACCGCAGTTTCACGTGGAGCATTTGGAGATTTGAACAACATCAACACTAAATTATAAAGGCCTGTCTCAAATACAAGCCGGTGCAGTTTGACGAATTATGAAAATAGCCCGGGCTATTATTTGAAGTTTTACAGTATAACACTTGTAATTCTTTAATACTAATTTTTTGTTAAAATCCTGGGTCAGATTTTTAATTAAATGTAAAACTTTCCGGCTTAAAGCATGTTTTTTTGGGCCACGAGATCTGGTTTTTCCATGCATGCCGTTTTAGTTGGTTCAAAATAATTTGCGGAGTGTAGAAAAAAAAGTGCAAACTTATTGATGAACTATGATTTCTGTGCAAAAACACAAATACAGTTAGTGAATGAGACCCAATCTTCACTGATCTACTTTCTTTAGCTTGAATCGGAGTTCGGAGTTTTCTGGTTTCTTCCACCAGATGCGGTGCAACACACAACCGAGACGAGTCCCGTCTAACCCCACTGCACCTCGTCGTTCACACTTCTCCATTTTTGCACGAGCAGTTTTGTTTTGTTATTTAGTGTTTTGGCACAATAAGAGCACTCAGTTGGTAAATGTAATTGGACTCATTCCTCACACTAGGTGCACTTCCTCCTCCCACTCCGAGGATTCCTGCCGATCAGCACTGCTTTCAGGACAAACTGCACAAGTGAGATCTACACTGCCCGAATCCTCCAAGCCTGGCTCTGCTTTAGGAGGTTGCGCATCATCCACACATTCTAGCTCCAAAAGTTGCGTCGCTAACATTTCTGAACTTCCTTTTGTCAGTGTTAGGGAGTCTTCCACTTCGTTCTCCTCGTCCTGGGCTTTGGCAGGTTGTTCCTCTCCAAAAGCGAGTGGCTCGGGACCGGCATCCGAGGTGGCAGAGGGAATCAGTGCGATGCTCTGTGGATTCATATCGTGGAACCAGGCCATAATGTTGCCAAGCAGGTTGGCATTGGTGGAAGGGTCCAGGCAGTCTGGGTCACTCGGGGTGAAGGCATCAGGGAAGGAGCTCATGTTAAAGGGTGTGTAGTGGCTGGTAATGTTGCCCAGTCTCATAAGGCTGTCTCCCAGCTCCAGAAGCTCAGAACTGCTCATGGAAGCCCGGGGAGGATCCGCAGAATCCAGTCTAGAGGACAGAGAGGAACCGCTGGCCCCTACAGAGGCGTCGTTACTGAGACCATCCTGAGGCTCGGGGTCCAAGGCCAGCCCGGACTCCTGTAGGGACAGCTGAATAGCCAACAAAATATTGGGGTCATCCTCATCCAGAGAATCAAGTGCCTGAGGGGATCAAAGAGATTCAAATTCTCAATAGATGATCATTGACTCATTTTTGATTGAACTACACTACCATTCAAATGAGTAAGTAAATGGTAAGTAAAAAATCATTTATATTGCTACAGAAGATTTCTATTTTAAATGATGCTCTTTTGAACTATATTCAAAGAACTCTGAAACATATTAATATTAATAATAATAAAATTAATATTAATATGATGATAAGAATGATGTTTCTTGAGCAGCAAATCATCATATTAGAGAGATTTCTGAAGGATCATGTGACACTGAAGACTGGAGTAATGATGCTGAAAATTCATCTTTGATCACAAGAATATATTACATATTCAAATATATTCAAATAGAAAACAGATTAAGTTGTAATAACCTTTTACAATATTTATACTTTTACTGTATTTTTAATAAAATTAATGCAGCCTTTGTGAGCAGAAGAGACTTATTTGCAAAAAATAAAAAAATAAAAAATAACAATCCCAAACGTTTTAACGCTATCTTTTTAAATGTTGTTACATGTTTAAAATAAAATATAAAATGTGTTTTGTTTAATAAGACATTTGTATGAAATATTTAATTTTGTATATTTGACTAAAATTTAGAAAACATTTTTGTAGTAAATCTGACCAAAATTAATGAATTTAGTATGATTATTTTATTATAAATTTAAATACAAAAATGTGACCAAAACAAATAACTGTGTAAAAACTAGGGATGTGCCTGAAGCCGAATACTATGTTCAGAAAGGAAATGACACTTTCTTGTTGATGAGAAAAAATATGAGATTAAATAGTTGTGTAATTATATTGTATAGAATTTCGTAGGCATCAGGTAGCCGCTACTATCTACAGTAGTATTCTGTACTGACCGCACATTTTACAACTTAAGATATTTATCAATGACACTATCGAGCACATGATTTGTAGTGCAAAACCAAATCCTCTGACATCATCCTGTCAATCATCTCTCCTTACTAGCTTCACCTAATAAGTGAAATCTGATGTATTGTAATGCAACCGACTACTGCAATAAGCCTAACCATGTCTCTTCAGGGGCTCCGGATTTAAAGGGGTCATGAACTGGCTTTTAAAATTTTATTATATTGTTGTCTGAGGTCAACTTATGACGTTTTGCATTCAAAAACATCAAAATGAATAAGTAACAGGCTATTTTCTACCCTAGTTTTGAGCCTAGCTGAAAAATGCTCGGTTTTTATGGGCGTGTCGCACTGAAGACTTGGAAGTAAACGCCCACTGCTGTGAGTGGACAACAATTTTGCATATTATAATGAGTTTCAACTCACCCCGGCCCTCTGTGCACTTGGGGGAAATTGTTTTGAAAACGTCCAATATTGTAAAATGTAGGGCTGGGTATCGATTCACATTTCAATTTCGATTCGATTTCGATTCACAAGCTCTCAGTTCGATTCGATTTCGATTCTCGATTCAATTTTCGATTTCGATTTCGATTCCTGATTTGATTCTCGATTCGACTATAATGAAGATGTAATACAAATCCTATATTTATAAAAAAGAACAGTGGACATAAGTTTACTAGTGGTTAATTAATACAAAGAAATTAAGAGCCATAAACCTGTATATAAAACTCTTTTTATTTTAGGTACACTAAATGCATAGAAAGAATAAACAGGATTTTGATGCAATGTGCAAAAAAAGTCAGAACAGTCGCACAGCTTGATCAAACAGTATCATGTTATTTTATGTTTAAGATAGATATAGATAAATAAATATATAAATATTTAGACATTTTTTACATTGATCTTACCTAAATGGTAATGTAATTTTTTTGTTTATTTTTGTTTTTTGTTTTAAGAGTTTATGTATGGAAGCTTGATTTCAATCTTTGAATTAAATTGAAAAAAGTAGCACAAATAAATACAATAGAATAAAGACACAAATTAAGAGACATTTTGGGGTAGTTTTTGGGTATGTCAGAAATACTACAGAAACTGAATAAAGTAATCCAATGTAAAATAACACTGGATAGTCTTTTTAGTCCAGACTGAATTAAATACAAAGGCTTTTAATTCTGATTGCTTACAATTAATACTATATTCTGTTGTTATGACAACAGAATTAATGACTGACACAAATGGCTGCGTTCACTTTAAGAACTAGTGCGCGAATCCATTACTGTTTCATTAACTTTCTGTCACACGCGTTTAATGCTAATTTAAGACATTACCGACTGTCTTTACGAGGTTACTCACCAAGACCAGAGTTTTGACATAATGTTGCGTGTTTTAACTGTTAAAGTGATATAATCCAGGGACAAAACTTTTGTTTCTGGCGAGCTGTTTGTGAGGCAGATTTAGGCTGTACTGTGCACGCAGTGAAAGACATCTCTGAGAGTGCGCGAGCACGGGATGGTTTAACATTGCTTGTAAAACACAAAAAGACGTGAAAATGATAAACGTTAGTTACGATCATAGGTTACGATGCAATGCTGGCCCGATTGTTAAGTGAATATTCCGTCATGTCCCGACTCCTGAACGCGCGTGTGTATCGACAGCTGCAGCGCTTGGCGCTTGCCTAGTGCAGAGAGACGAGAAGATGCAGCACCGCGTCCGCGAGCCCTTTATATGGAAAAAAATCGATTCGTGGCCGTTGAGAATCGATTTTGAATCGAACACATTTTAAAAAACGATTAATCGAAAAATCGATTTTTTTGCCCAGCCCTAGTAAAATGGCAACCGGAATGATTCGCCCATACATGTCCGACCCAGAGTCCGTGTGTTGCACCATTACTGTCGGATCCAATATAGACGGCACAGCACCGTTCTTTACCCTTAAATCGGTCTGCAAATCCAGTCTTGTTTACATAACAATCCTCAGTGAAATGAAGCGAACAGACGAACAATGTTTTAACTCATCAGCTGGAACGTCATTAAAAATAAAGTTTATCCATGCAGTCCTATTGGAATCCAGAGGAAGCTTATGCGGCGACTGTTTTCTTCCACAACCAGGCTCTGCACAATATTTTGTATTGCTCGGTAGCTCGATCCGGTTTGTCATCACGAGGTAGGCCTATGTTATTTATCTATGCGCGAATCGGTGGGCGGGGCTAAACCAGCCGTGTTGAAGTAGGCGTTTTTCTTCTTCTGAGGGGGTGGTGGTTATCCTGTTGGTTATCCTATGGTCAATATCCCATATCCTAATATGGTTATCCTCTTTGACATCATAGTTCCCCACTTTGAAAAACGAGTCGTTTGCTGAGCCTGGTGTCAATAAACGCATTTATTGGACTAACAAGGACGTTTTCAGTTCTGAAACTTACTGGATATACTTATATGACCTCTTAGATGTCAAAAGCTCAAGGAAAATTTGATTTCTCAGTTCATCACCACTTCAGGACATCCCTAGTAAAAACATCACATGATAGAAAATCAGTATATTTACCGTGGAGATCCCATGCCTTTGTGAACTGCCTCCCTCATGCGTTTCTGTAGACACATTGGACACACATGGATTTCAAACGGAGTAACACTGATTTATAGGACAACTCCGGCGCAAAATGAACCTTTGCTCTAATTACACATTGGGACCTAGTCAACTGTTTTCTGAGATTTGTTTTCTAAGGACTTTGTGTATACAGGCAGGTGCCATCTTTGGAAAACAGTCTCGACCAGTCAAACCACGAACGGCGTTCATACAGTTCAGCTCACTTAGCAAGGCGTTCGTGGTTTGACTTATCAAGACTGTTTTCTAAAAATGGCTCCTGCCTGTATACACGAAGTGGTATTAACTAGCGATTTTTATTTTTCATTACTCTATGCCCTATATTAGTGTTGTAATCTAAACCGTTTTTTGAGATAAAACTCTTTACATTCGATTATCATGAAAACAAATCTTAGAGAACGGTTGACTAGGTACCGATGTGTTATTAGACCAAAGGTTCATTTTGCACCGGAGTTGTCCTTTAAAGCAACTCTTTATTTTCACATTATGTGGCCTCGCGCTGTCGGTCAGGAGCTGTACCTGAAGTGGTGTCAGTGGGGTCGTGTGGTTCGGGGGTGTTACTGCGAAGGCTGTGGAGTCGGAGCAAGTCTCCTCGACGCCGCTGTCGGTGTCTCCGTCTGTACTGGAACTCAGAGTATTCCTGCAGGAACCATCAACTTCAGATTAATTGCAAAAATACATGATCTGTTGACAAGGAGCAGTTATTATGGATAGAAATGAATAGATCCTTAAATGGTCAGCCTCTCATGAGAATACAATATCTATATTACAAGTACTGAATAAACGAGATTAACAAATGTAGTGTTATATATAGCATATACTGTGATAAACTGTGCCCCTAATCTGTATTACTATGGATTAAAATAAAATAAAGTTACCCTACAATGTTTTTGAACACTTAAAGGGGTCCAATTATGCTTTATAGTCACAATATTCCTCATTTAAATAATTAATATGGAGAATAAAGGGGCGGGGCCTGGTTGAGTTAGTTAGTGGTGTGTTAAAACCTGGTTGAAAATGGCAGTTATAGTAAGGGACGGGACATTTCCCAAACATGCTGGAAGCGGTTGACCAATCACAAAACACTGATCCAGCTGGCCAATCAGAACACATTGTGCTTTTCAGAAGGAGGGGCTTCATAGAGACAGGAACTAAACAGAACGTTTAGAAAAGAGGAGCTGCGACAATGGAGAATATTTAAACATTCAAGCATGAAAACCTATCCCAGTATATCAAAAAAAAAAAAAAAAAAAAATCAAGACTTGAAAACACTTGACACACTTGAAAAATTGTATGTAACATTATGTAACAAATATCCAACCAAGGTTTTATTTTAAACAAACACACAAACACTTTTCAAGCAAATCATTTCACAAAAGGAAAGTTTGTTTCAACCGTTTTTTAATTTGACTAAGTATTTAGATACTTTCTGGTTACGAAGCATTAGTGAAAATGTAGTAGAAAATGTTCAAGGTTAATGTGATTAACTACACCGGTGGTTATTCTGCAAGGATGAACTTCCTAAACTACTAAAAATTACCTTGTTTGTTAAAAGTCAACCAATCAGAAAACTGTGTGTAGCATAATTTGTTTGCAGATTCCTCATAGTTTAATATGCAATTATCAATTGCGATAGAATTCACACATTTTTAGTGTCCAAATCCTGTTTGAGGCCACTGTATTTAGGCATAAAAAACTAGAAAAAAAAGAGCAGCTTATTTTATATTGAAGGGTTAGTTCGGTATTTTACGCTTAAAGCCCTGTTTTAAGATCGTTTCTGAGGAAATAGAACGGTTAAAGGAGTAGTTCACTTTTAAAAAAAACTTTTGCTGATAATTTACTCACCCCCATGCCATCCAAGATGTCCATGTCATTCTTTCTTCAGTCGAAAAGAAATGAAGGTTTTTGATGAAAACATTCCAGGATTTTTCTCCATATACTGCACTTTACGGATAACCAAACGGTTCAAGGTCCAAAAGACAGTTTCAGTGCTTTAAACGACACCAGACGATGAACAAGGGTCTTATAAATCGAAACGATCGCTCATTTAAAAAAAAATAAATAAAGTTTAAGTTTTATGAGCTCTAACGGTCGCCTTGCTCTGTTCTGTGTGTCTCTCCTGTTTCTAACTTATTTATCAAAATGAACAAATCTTTTTTCATGTCATTAGGTTCACTCAATGAACGAATTGATTCGGAAAAAGATTCGTTCATTTTGATGAACGAGTTTGAACAGGAGAGTCACACAGAACAGAGCAAGGCAACCATTTGAGCTTATAAAACTTAAACTTTGTTATTATTTTTTAAATGAGCGATTGTTTCGCTTGATAAGAGCCTTATTCATCGTCTTGAATCATTTAAACCCCTTTGAACAGTTTGCAGTTTGCACTGAAACTGTCTTTTGGACCTTGAACCGTTTGGTTCCCACTGAAGTCCATTATATGGAGAAAAATGTTTTCATCAAAAACCTTAATTTCTTTTCGACTGAAGAAAGAAAGACGTGGACATCTTGGAAGACATGGAAGTGAGTAAATTAACAGCAAAAGTTTTTTTAAAAGTGAACTACTCCTTGAAGATATGCTCACACAAAAATCGCTGCAAAAGATGCTTTCAAACAGGTTTTATTGTAGTTTTTGTCCGACTCCATTGACTTGACTTGGTACAAAAACTACGAAACTCCTGTTGGAAAGCATCTTTTGTGCATATCAGTGAACACGTTTTATGAATGATTGTTCCAGTGCACAAAAACAACCATTGTGTAGGTGGGGGTGGGGGTGAAACAGAAACCTAAAATTCTTGGGACAGCGTATTTGTCCAAATTTTAATCTTAACCGTTCTATTTCATCAGAAATTATCTTAAAACAGGGCTTTAAGTGTAAAATCCTGAACTAACACTTTAATTCATACTTTGAAGTCACGTGACTACCATGGATAACTGGTGGGCAACAATCTAGTCAACAATCCTGTTAGCCTGTAATGTAGTATAGTAATAAGTGTACAATAGTAAGCATGCAAAGTAACTAAGTAAGTAATAAGTAGACGCAGTACAACAGTAACGTGTAATTCATTCTCCATGTATTCACCTTCTCATTTATCAAATCAAATCACGAACAGATCACACTGGCGATCATGCAAGCACATTTATGTTAAGATTACACGATTGACATTAGTACATCCAGTCGCACAACAACTATCTGGTATGTCGTTTACACCTCAAAACACCATCTTTTGTGTATTAAAACTGGCGAGGTCCTGGCAAGATCCTTGATTAGTTTACGGAGTTTCCTTGCTAGAGAACGACGTTTTTGCCCGCCAGCCAGTACGTGAGACGTCACGTCCAAATTATGAATTGTGCAGTGGTTAGAAACACTAAACGCTGATTATTCAGTCACACTGAGTGCATGACAAAGCACCCTACAACAGTGTCCACATTTCAAGAACGGTGAAGTTGACCACAGGACAGGAATCCTGGTTTAATTAAGTGAATTAACCGTCTGAGTTGAGTAATAATGACATTTAATAATGGCACCCTCTGAGTTGAGTAATAATGGCCTTTATCTGGAATATTCCAGGAGATGACCAGCCTTAACTGCTAACCACCGGATTACATTTATGCTAATAGTGATATATATAACGAGGGAATTCTAAATGTCAAATTTTGTATGTTTTACTTTTGTTTTCAGCAGTACCTGCGGCTGGCCTCCTGCATTGTAATTGTTCTCACGCTGTGCATTTGATCCCCGTACTGGGTGATTCCTCACCATCTTTGGACACAAAATGAGATTCAATGACTGCTAGTAGTTCACAGCATCACACAACACTCTTACATTAATACAAGGAGAGACAGAAAGAGAGTATTAACAGTCTAGTGAGCTGCAACTCTGGGTGAGCTTTGCAATAACAGAGGTTAGTTAAAAACAGAAAAATATAGAGATGCAGCAATACCTCAGGAGAGGCAAATCCCAGATACTCCCAGTCCCACGTCCCACCAGCAAAACTGCAAGAGAGGAGAAAATGTTTGCACTATTGTAATACATATAACTCTTAGAGAAAGTACTGTGGCTGTAGTAAACTGTGTTTTGGACATGGCACCAAGGTAATGTCATTTTTTTTGTAGACATTAGCCATAGTATCAACCATAATATCATATATAATATATATAATTAACCATAATATCATAACAATATAGTATTGTTTAAAGTAAAAAAAAAGTTACTTGAAAGAATGCAATGGTGCTACTATAGTAAATGCCCAAAAAACATAGCCAGGGATGCAATATTATCAGAGGTTCAAAAGGTGATATGACTATATACTAATGATCATCATTATTATTATACCAATAATACTATTTATTACAATAACAATAGTTACTATGGTACAGTAGATATTATTTAGTCTTTTAATAAAAAATAGTTATATAAGAGTATTTAATTATTTTTATATTATTATTATTATAGCAATAATACTATTTAATACTATGAGAGTTGCTATAGTATAGTAATATTAGAGTTAATAGTTTATTTATTTATTATTTAACACTATATCAGCATTCATGGCATTCAATTATTCAAAATACAATATTAATATTTATATCAACAAGTCTTAATTTGCTTTTTAAACATTAAACCATAGAGATTTTATTTGGGCAGAAACCGCAGGGAGACCTTACAGCTTTTCTTTTGTTGACAACAGATCTAAGGAGCGATTTAGGCTGTAATGAATCTTTGAAGGCAGCACACACTACTTTACCTGCGGCGCGAAGCCTCGGGTGAATCATTTGGAGCGACACCTCGAGCCACAGAAGCCAAGAACTCCCGTCTCTTCTGCTGCACCAGAAACGTGGCACTGATGATCTTATGGCGAGGGGTGCGGAGGTAAGGCCTGTTCACCTTCTGAGCGAGGTCTTCAGTGACCATCTCTAGATCAGTCTGTGAATAATGGAAAGAGAAACATCAGAAAAGTATGTTGTGCATGAAAACTTTACACAAAAAATTTATTTCACATGGTGTCGCTTTTCTTAAAGGGATAGTTCACCCAAAAATGAAAGTTCAGTCATCATCAATAAAACTTTTGTTCATCTTCAAAACACAAATGAATGTATTATTAAAGGGTTAGTTCGCCCAAAAATGAAAATTAAGTCATTAATTACTCACCCCCATGCTGTACCAACCCCGTAAGACCTTCGTTCGTCTTCGGAACACAAATGACGATATCATATTTTTGATTAAATTTGAGAGGTGGGTCACTCCTACTTAAGCTGCCTAAGGGATTGAAACTTGATGGCCCGGAAAGTCATTGAAGAAAATTTTTAAATATTCCATGTGACAACAGTGGCTTATGTTGAATTATAATGAGTTAAATAATGAGTTGAAACTCATTATAATATGCAAAACTGTTATCCACTCACAGCAGTGGGCGTTAACTTCCAAGTCCTCAATGCGAGACGCCCATAAAAACAGCGTTTTTTTTTTTTTTTGCTAGGCTCAAAACTAGGGTAGAAAATAGCCTATTACTTATTCATTTTGATGTTATTAAATGTAAAAATCAAGCAAATCTCATAAGTTGACCACAGACAACAATATAAAAAAAATTAAAAAGCCAGTTCATGACCCCTTTAACTCTTATAATAATTTAACATGCGTTTTCTTTCTCAACTGTTTACATTCACTTAAAAACATAACTGACTTTTCGTGTGAATAGTCATTAGCCACCAAAACCGGCATTTGACATTATTTTGTGTGTATTTGACGGTTTAAGTGCAATAAGCAGTGAAAAAAAAAACTTAATTCAGTACTAAGAGGCAGGTTTATACGCACAAACTTTGGGTGTGAACACAAAATCTATGGGAATGAGTAATGCCCAATGCCACGTCAAAAGAGGAATATAGAGAGAGAGAGAGAGAGAGAGAGAGAGAGAGAGAGAGAGAGAGAGAGAGAGAGAGAGAGAGAGAACATCTGGTATTGTGTATCTACTTTGCAGGAAATTAGTATTGGAAGCATTTCAGATATTTCAGTATCAATTTGAATTGAAAAACTATTTTTGACAACACTACATAGCACTTATTCTAGATGCATTTTTTAAAAGACTGTATAAATTTTCTGTAAAATTCAACCTGCCAAAGTGGCTAGTAGGAATGACTGATAAAAGCCACTGCATTTGGTGGGGTTGAAGGGTGTTAATGTCAAGCCCTGTTTACAGGTTAATAAAAGCCGAAATTAAACCTGTCCATCATATGAAGACTTGGATTAAATCTGCTCCATTCATTTAGATTTTTTGTAGGATCTCTTTATGAACTTGTGTCAGAGTTTTGGTTGAATAGACTTTCTATGGAGAATGACATGAGGGTGAGTAAATGATGACAGAATTTAAATTTTGGGTGAACTGTCCATTTAAGCAGTGAATGAATATTGATCTAAGAACCTGCATAAGTTCAAATATTTCTTTCTTTGTGCTTTTGGGCTCCAAGAAGAAACTATATGGATAAGAGCACTTAAGGATGCGTCGAGTCTTGAGAAGTTCATGCACACCGTCCTCAATGAACGTGGTGTCAGGTGGGGCTCCGTCCCCTTAAAGAAACAGATACATTTTTATACATTCATATTATTCATACATCTGTTTATAATAACACTTGCATAAAATATGGTCTGATTAATCAAATTCCAACTCACTTCCAATGAAAGCTTTACTCAGTTGCTCCATCTTCTCTTTGGCTGTTTTCAGGAGTCTTTCTTCTAACTAGTGTAAAGGAAATCACCTTTGATGAGTGACTGGGAAACTGGAATGCATCAAAGACATTCATTACATAAAAATGTCTACCTGGTAACTGTGTTCGTGGTTCTTGTATCGTGTGTAATAATGCATAAAACAGTCAAGTTCCTGAAAACTCTTGTGCTTTTTTTCTGCCTGTGAGACACAAAACATAAAAGCAAGAGTGAATCCCAACTTCAAGACTACAGTAGTGGCCAAAAATGATATTTGCTTTTTATAACCCTACAAGTTTGATTAATACATCAAAATAGGAGGAAAATATTTCATGCATTTTAAATATGACAGAAAAACAAAACACTAAACTTGGTTAAGGTATTAATTTTACAAAATTATTTGGCAAAAAAGGCAAACTACAGCTACAGGTTTTATATCGCTATGCAAAAAAATGGACAGAAAAACAAAAAGCTCAAAGAAAAAAAAACATACACTGACCACAATATAATCACTTATTAATATTTCATTGGTTAATAAGTGATTAAGTGGTTTCAAAATGATGTTTGCACAATCTGGCATGTTTCATATATATATATATACCAAAAAATAATAAATCTGAACACATCACTCTTAGTACTCTCTCCTACCATTCATTGCAAAAACACTTGAACGAGTTGCTTTTAACCAAGTATCATCTTTCCTGTCCCTGAACATAAATATATGTTCTATATTTATATGAAATATAAGCCTTGAAAGTAAACACTTAGTGTTTTAAAACTTTATTCACTAAAACCGTTGCGTTAAAATGGCAGTCCACAAACAAATCCCAAAAGCTCCAAGTAAATGCATTGGTTGAATGTACACTCCTTTTAGACACGAGTACCTCCACAGTCATTTCCTTGGACTGTTCCTCCACCTGTTGGATGACCTCGTAGCGCGTGCATCGATAGTATCCTCCGGTAGAGGAGCTGTGTTTCTTCCATTCCTCAAGACAAATCCAGCAGAAATCATACTTGCACTGCGAAGAGATTGAGATGAGAACAGAGAGCAAGACAAAACTTATGAGCAGGATCAAATAGCAAGCACTAATCAGCTATAAAGTAGATTTAAAGAGTGTTTTAAATTGAAAAATTGTTGTTTGAGCATGAAAAAAGTCTGTAAAGTTACAAAGCACAAAGTCCCTCCAGCGGGAGTTATTCTCTATATCAGTGTCAGTGTTTCTGAACTGCCTGAAACGCCTCCATTGTAGTCTTGAGTTTTCTTCCGGGAACGAACACATTACCATATTCCTCATTTAAATAATTAATATGTCATTATTAATAATTAATATAGGAACAGGAACTAAACAGTGCATTACTGATAGTTTGACACTATGTAAAAAATTTAGGGGGTTTATATTCAAGCATGAAAATCTATTCTAGTAGAGACCAAAAAACTAAATCGAGAAGGGCATTAACCAGGTCGTTGTCACTGACATAAAAAAAAAAAAAATCAAGAGATTAAAATCAGAATCAATGTTACTAAACAACAAATGAGTGTGCTAAAAGAACCACAGATTAGATAGTACAAGAACCTTTGTATATGACATAATAAATAGCCGGCACGAGAGAGCGTTCAACATTTGTTTAGGTTATTTCACAGGATGGTGGTGTGAATAGCGTCCCCTTCCCCCTGCGCCTGTCAATCAGACCCTTGGTTAAGCCTTCATTAAGAAAACAGGGAGGATATGACCATTGTTCAAACACCTGCTCTGACGTCAAAGGGTCGGTTTGCATCACACATACATCTTGTGTAATGGACACACACGTAAAAACACACTCCTATGTTGTCTGTAAGAGGACAAATACTATGTAAATGTTCATTTAATGCCTATGCAATTTTGTTGTCAAGACCATTATGAAGGGAGCTATTAGTTTTAGGTCCAAAAGCATCCCAGTTTAAATACAATTTCCCAGTGTTGAGTTTCCTCTAGCTAGATACAACAACATGCCATTAACATGACAAAAATGTATAGTTCTAGAATAGCTGGCCATGTTGTGTTTAAAATGAAATTTACTCAATATTAATGTCTTTTTTGTACAAATTATATTAAAAAATATTGTTTAAATCACTATTGCTTCACTATTATTTCAGTTTCTTTCAATCAATTGATTAAATGTTTGGTTTTTTTTTTACATTAAAGTGGACATGTTGTGTTTTAAAATGCTTAAAAAATGCTCTCATTAAGGTGATCATTTTTTAGGATCCAAATATTTCATGATCATTTTTTAGGATCCAAATATTGAACCTTTATATGATGAACAGATTTAACACATTTGTGTGATTACCAACTTCTCCATTGAGGACATCTGACCTTTTTAGTCCATAATCTAAATTGATAATTTTCAGATTTATTTATTTATTAATTAATTAATTAATGTGTGTATTTAGTTTCTTCCATTCCCCAAATCACCTTTGCATCTTTATGTATTATAATTTAGACTGTGATTTAAATCATCTTTTGTAGGAATTCTTCATGCAGGTCTGTTTGTAATTGGGCATACACACACGCACCTATACATGAACACACTTTTATTTCTCTTCTGGAATTATGGAATTACTAGATTATTCGCTACTGCACTATCTTAGTTTGTATGTCTGACTGTTACATACATAAATAAATAAAATTACAATGAAGAACAAAATATAAATATTTTTTTTTAATTAAAAAAGGGAAAATATCTATATTCCATCGTACAGTAATTGTTTTTGCAAAGTTGTCATTCAATAAAAAATCAGAACAGATAATTTTCGGACAGGTCCCATTTAGAGTTTAGCGGGCTGACATTGTAATGGCTGCAGATGTTTTTTCCCCACATAAGCCATTGTGTACTGACCTTCGAGCACTGCATGTGATTACAGCCTTCGTTTTTCTGGATGGGGGATTTGCAGTTGGCACAAGGTTTGGAGTTGGTGAGCAGCCACAGGCAGTTGGCAGCATCTTCATAAGCTTCGCTCACACCGGCCACTGTACGGAGACAAGGAGGGGCTCAATATCAAAACCTAGAGCAGCAGGTTATGTCATGAACATCCATTAAATAAAGATGCAGGTCAAATGTTAATGCATGCTGAGGTCTTTGATTAAATGCATGGTCTGGAAGAACAATATAATAAAGTCTGGAGTTCCTACATTCTTCAGGCTTCATCTCAGACACCTTCTGCAGCCACATCTTCCATGTCTCACAGTCACAGGGTTCATGAGCATCACCAAGACACTCCCTGAGGAGAAACCCAAGAGGTACACATGGTATTTTACAGGATGCACAAAATCAAAATGTATTTAAAATAAAGGGGTTTTATTTAAAATAAAATAAATCATTAGGGGGTTTTGTTCCCTCACAGTTGTCAGGCACGCGGAACATATTGAAGATTACAATAAAAGTCCACGGGACCAAACTGTAAAAACGTGAATTTATGCTGTGAAAACGGACATTTTAACATGGGGTATATGGACATTTGCTCCCTTTTGGGACCGGCCTCTAGCAGATTTTCGATGTATTGCAGTTTGTCGCACTTCCGGGTAGGCTTCATGTTTCAGATTAGAATGTTGCCGCTTGGTTGAAACTGATGCTTATGGAAAGGGGCGGGACATTTCTAGGGCTGATCCAATACCAATTTTTCACACACAGGCCTTTTAAGTTAAGCAATATTTTTAATAAGGTATAGTCTGCTCACTGACAAAGTAGGGTAGATTTAAATAAATAAAAACTAATTTAAATAAATAAAAATTAAATTTAAATAAAATAAAAACGATAATAATAAAAAAAAAACTAATAACTTAAATACAGAAAAAACAAAATTTAAATAAACAAAAACGAAAGAAGCGCTTGACCAATCACGACACACTGATCCAGCCAACCAATCAGACTCGGGCATAATCTTTGACATACCAGCAGAAGAGATGGCCTTTCCCACAGTCTACAGCGGGAGCTTTGAGCAAAGGGAAGCTCCGAGAGTCAGAGGCTCCAGGTCCGGGTCTAGTCAGTCGCACGGCTCTTTCACATCTGGCTACGGGGCACCAGCGAATGGCAGGATTATTATCCACAAAAGCCTGGGGATGGAAAGAAATGTGTTGAAACACGCTATTTGTTTTGGATGATGTAAATTACCCAATACCCCAAATCTTTAAATCCAAATCAAATTGACGTGATATTTACCCAACAATCAAACATTTGACTTCTGAGCAAGTGTGTTTACAAGAGCTTTTTCGGCTCAAACAATCTCTGGCAAAAACTCAACCAACAGCAGGACGCTGTCAGAATTTTGATTCAAAGCCAGCTTCAGACAGTCTATGATAAGAGAAAAGAAATGGCAGCTCTGAAATGGTTTCCAGGGCTTAGTGAGCTCCAATTGTACCTTAATGTCAAACTGCAGGTAGCGCTTATCCATCTCTCTGGAGACAACGCTTTCAATGACCTCCACAGGAACCAGCTGGAAGCAGTCATAAGCAGGGCAAAAGATGTTATGTGCTTCCCCTTCTTGGATCTTCAGATTCAAAAACCTGACATCCAGACAAAGAGTGTTTAAAGGTTATGAATATATGGATCATAAACAACTCACAATATAGTGCAATAGAGTGCTTTTTCAGTGGAAGTGTTTTTCTATTCATTTGCACTTTACAAAAAAATTTTACAACTCATAACAGCACTGCGTTTTAAGCAAAAAAATCATCCCATGAAGAACTGACAAAGCCATAATCAAATATGGCTAGTGAAATGGTAGTAAAATAAATAGCTGCTGACTTATAGTTAGTGATTATAAGTATAAAAGCTAATATATTTGAAGTTTATTGCAAACAAATCCAGGGCGTTCAAAAGTCAGATTTTTTAATGTATTGAAAACAAAAAACAATTGGTTGATCAAAATCACTAATAATGTGAAATTTTGTTACCACTTAAAATATTTTCTATTTCGATATATTTGAAAATTATACTTACTAAAAAAAACTAAATAAATAAATAAACTGCACTAAAATTAAACTGAGAGGGGTTATAGCACCTATGTATTGTTGTCCTACTGTTCGTTTATTGTTCTCATTTGTAAGTCGCTTTGGATAAAAGCGTCTGCTAAAATTAATAAATGTAAATGTAAAATGTAATTTATTCCTGTGATCAAAGTTACATTTTCAGCATCATTACTCCAGTGTTCAGTGTCACATGATCCTTCAGAAATCATTTCTAATATGATGACTTGCTGCCCAAGAAACATTTCTGATTATTACCAATGTTAATATTTAATATTAATATTTTTGTGGAAACTTTTTTCAGGATTCTTTGACGATCAAATTTCAAAAGAACAGCATTTATTTGAAATTTGTAACATTATAAAATGTCTTTACTGTCACTTTTGATCAATTTAATGCAGTCTTGACAAATAAAAATGATTAATTTCTTTAAAAAAAAAAATCCTACAAACTTTGAAACGGCCGTGTAAGTAGTTAACTGTAATTGATGTATTATGATGACAACTGCACACGAGCTTGTACTTTAAAACACACTTATATTCCAATGCTTACCCTTCCCAGCATGCCCGGCAGAATTCGTGTCCACAAGACATGTCCACAGGGTCCTCAAACACAGATATGGTGCACATGCAAATTCCACACTACATGAAACATTGAACAGACTGTGTCAATATATTTTCATGATGAAGAATGTGGATCATGATGTCATGCACAGAGATGAATCTAACCAGAGCAAGGCCATCAGCAGGAGACAGCAGGCTGATATCATCAGGCGAGGTGACGGAGGAACGAGTGGTTCTGGGAGTTCGAGGTGAAGGCAGAGTGTCCCAAGCATTGTAGCCACTCGGCGGAGGAGTTGGCATCTGAACACCTGAGCGCTGGCAGCAGTCCTCTGCATTAGACATCCAGTCCTCCAGAAGCTTTTCCCGGTCCCAGTCTGTACAGCAGAAAAAAACGGATTGAAACTTACGGACCGGTAAAACCTTCCAGTAATGCAGAGGTTCTCAGCATTTTTGATTTACAGGCATAGTCAAACACAATGTTCATAGAAAATATTAAAAAAATAAAATAAGGGAAGATATTTCCTCCAGCATTTGGGCCACAATTATAGCACAGCTTTTTATAAACAAACTGGAAAAGTGTAATAGAATATGTTTTTATGCTTGAATGTTAAAAAAAATATATTTTCCCCATATATTTTCCATTGTTGCAAGCCTGACTGCGTCAGACTTCGTACTTCCGCTCTATTTCAGTTCGCTTCTGTACCCAGTCTGAGACATCTGCTGCATCCCAATTCGCATACTATCCGTCCTAAATAGTATTCGAAAACAGAACTAGAACATCCCAAATCGTAGTATGTTGAAATGAGTGTTTCAAAGATACCCGGATGGTCTACTATATCCGCTCCTCTCTTCCCAGTCTGTCAGTAACGCTCTGTTTAGTTCCTGTCTCTATGAAGCCCCTCCTTCTGAAAAGCAAACTATTTTCTGATTGGTCGGCTGGATCAGTGTGTTGTGTGATTGGTCAACCACTTCGAGTGTGTTTGAAAAATGTCCCGCCTCTTACCATAACCACCAGTTTCAACACACTACTAAGTAACTCACCCAGGCCCCGTCCCCTTTATTCTGCGTATGTCTTGGGCAGGAATTATTTAAATGAGGAATATCTGTGATGTTCGTTCTCGGAAAAAAACTCAAGACTATAATCAAGGCACTCCAGTGATTTCAGAAATAGTCCGCACTGATTTAATATGCAAACATCACTCAGTATAAGGTCAGATATGCCTTCAGAATTAACCTTTAACATCCTTTTTTTATCACATAGCATCTGATATGCTTGATATGTTAAAAGCAATTTATTCCGTGTAAATCTGAGTTTTTCTCCAAAACAGCAATATGAAATTCTTACAGAATTCTGCCATTAGTCATTTTAATTTTCAAAAAAAAATATTATATTAAAGTCTGCATGAAACAAAAGTTGCAAAAGTGTTTTCATCCCTATATATTTGAGTGAAACGGCTTTCAAATGAGAAAGAAATATAGGACGGGCTTGATTTTGTCCATTGGTAATTGTTGGATGTGGTTTGCTATTAGTCGATCTCATGATCTCCTCTCATAAAGGTAATTACTTTTAACCAGGAGTCCTTTAAAATGTATGTCTGTATTTGCTCATGTTAAGTAGGTTTAATGTCTTGTTTGTGTGTAGAGATTTGTGGTATAATATGTAATCTTTGTCCTGTCTTATTTTTTATTTTATTTTTACTTTTTTGCCGCCTGTTTTGGGCAGGACAGAGTTACTGTAACTCAATGGGATTTTTCCTGGTTAAATAAAGGTTAAATAAAATAAAAATAAAATAAAATGTGAGTGACAGCCCATTTACCAAAATAATGATGAGCACAGATAAATCATTTATAATAAATACTATGTTTTTTTATTCCATAAAAACATTAGACTTGCCAATTTTGACTTCATGGTGACTTAGAGCAAGGCTTTTTATAGCTTCCTCAATAATAAACATGAGCCAAACCCTTTTGCTTGTAATATCTTGATGAATGAACGATCTTGGAAATTGACCAAGTTTGACATATAACTTTAACTGATGAAATGGATCAGCTGGCACATTGAAAGTCCTTGCAAAACATTAACCACTTCATCTCTAATCTCTTATAATAAGTACTGCACCAGGACCTATGGAGTGTTATCAAATTATACTTTTACATGGCACTTCATTATGTCTCACAGAATACCATGAACATGTCTAAAAGAACATGGTAAGACCAGTGGAGCCTTTTATTGTGTGTACTCATAAGTCTTGGACTCTTGCACTTGTAATGCAAATGTAAAATATAAAGCATAGAAACGTAGCGTTCTCATTGGCTGAAGTAGCAGCAGTAAATCCGTACCGTGAGCTCGCAGAAGCGCCTCAGCCGTGAAAAGAGGAGCCTGAAGCATGTCCGCCGTCTCCACTATCAACATGTCTTTCAGCCGACGCAAGTCCTGAAGTTTCAATCCCTCATATGGCTGGAGAGAAAGAAAGATGAAGGGATAAGTGAAAGGTTAAAAATGACAAGTGTGAAGCAAAGAGGATGTAAGAGAGGTGATGGAAAAATAACTAATAAAGCTTTTCTATTTAAACTTTTATATTTTCTGCAACAGCAAAACAAAGCAATCATGAGTCTGTCAATCCACTTTTGATTGATGTCATATCCTGTGACATTACATTCCTAAGCTGTGATTTATCTTGTGCTCAATTCTTCAGTGCACACAACACAGAAAGAACAGCGAACATGCACACGGAAACTTCTACCTATTATATATTGGGCTGTAAATTGATTATCAAGTAGAATTAAAAGTTAATTACACAATATGCTGATAAATTGCAAATAATTGCATCAGTGTTTAAATCAGTGTTTGTTGAGAAAAACTTGCATAGAACGAATCCATTCAAGGATCAATCAAGGACCATTAAAAATGTTTTTTAATGTTTCTTTTAATCAATGTTGCTTAATTTGTTTGGAAACTGACTGCATTTCTTTTCAGGAATCTTTGATTTAAAAAAAAAAAAACGCATTTATTCGAAATAGAAATCTATTGTTATAGATTATAACATTATAAACTAACATTATAAACTGACACTTTTCCCCAATTTAATGCATCCTTAAAGGAGTAGTTCACTTTTAAAAAAAACTTTTGCTGATAATTTACTCACCACCATGTCATCCAAGATGTCCATGTCATTCTTTCTTCAGCAAAAAGAAATTAAGGTTTTTGATGAAAACAAACCAGGATTTTTCTCCATATAATGGACTTCAGTGGAAACCAAACGGTTCAAGGTCCAAAAGACAGTTTCAGTGCAAACTGTTCAAAGGGCTTTAAACAATTCCAGACGATAAAATAAGGGTCTTATCTAGCAAAATGATCGCTCATTTAAAAAATAATAACGAAGTTTAAGTTTTATAAGCACAAATGGTCACCTTGCTCTGTTCTGTGATGCACGTTCGTGACTCTCCTTTTCGAACACGTTTATCAAAATGAACGAATCATTTTTCGAGTCATTTCGTTCATGAACAAGGCGAGCATTTGAATGTTTTCATCAAAAACCTTAATTTCTTTTCGACTGAAGAAAGAAAGACGTGGACATCTTGGATGACATGGGGGTGAGTAAATTATCAGCACAAGTTTTTTTAAAAGTGAACTACTCTGAATATGAATAAAAGTATTAAAATTTTCTCTCTCTATATATATACACACACACACACACACACACACACACACACATATATACATATACATATATATTAAATAATATATATTAAATAAGGAGGTGTGTATATATATATATAAAACGAAATGTCACAGTCTCTAAACTCAGAAAGCACAGTTTTTAACACCACCGTACCTCTCGTCGGTCAAGGGCGGCATACTCTGCTTCGATCTCCTGAGCTCCAGCATCCTGAGAGAAAACCATCTGAGACTCCAGACTGAGCGCCAGCTCCTTGTGATGCTGTTTCTCCGCACAGTCACACGGCGTCTCCCTGTCCTCGTTCTCCACGAACAGATCGGCATCGTTCTTCACTAACAGCTGTAAAACACAAGACTAGCCCTTAGCAAGAGCCTTCAAAGTTATGATCAATCACAGCATCCTACAATTAAAACAGAAAAGTAATCTTGTTTGGTCCAGGACCAGGAGTTTTAATGAGTAAGACTAAACTCTTAAAAACATAAGGTTTTCGCAGAGATGCTATAAAATAACCATTTTTTTCTTTCTCTGAAGAACATTTTCCACTATAAAGAAGGGAATGTCCCATGGATGTTAAAGGTTCATAATGGATATATATTAAGCTTTTTTAAATGATCCTAATGTTGTTTCGGATTCTCCTACAAAAGGTTTACATGCATCCAAAGTCACTTAAATTTTTTCGTAACATAAATTGTACAATCAGCTCTTTTCTCAGTGTCTAGATCAGTGTTTCCCAACCCTGTTCCTGGCAGCACACCAACACTGCCTGTATTCTTTGTCTCCCTAATCAAACGCACCCGATTCAACCCATTAGCTCATTAACCCACCTGATTATGAGCTGATGGGTTGAATCAGATGTGTTTGATAAGGGAGACAAAGAATACACGCAGTGTTGGTGTGCCGCCAGGAACAGGGTTGGGAAACACTGGTCTAGATGTTTCGATAAAGGACTCAGTCTCTCTAAACCCCGCCTTTCTGAGAGCCTACTCTGCTCTGATTGGTCAGATAGCCCAGTCTGTCTGTGTTTTACAACGTGTGTCGGAAACAAAATGCTCATTACCATATCTGAAATTCAGCTCTGAATCTTCCTCAGCCTTTGCGTAACCAGTGATGCGAACAGTAACGATGGTGTCGGTTTTACCGTATCAATTCGAGCCCGAGTCCACATCCCTTCGAAAAGCATCAAAGTGGATTTGCTTTCGCAGCAGAAAACAGCGTCTTCTCGACATGTCGACAACACGAACCAAACTCTTCCAGGCCTCAGCTACAACTACAGTGTTTGAGGGCGGGGCAAAGTAGACATTGTTCGCAGGCAGCCAATTAAGACCATAGGCTGGCATTATGGAAATGTATTACAAACCTACATATGTTCGTGCAGGAAGGAAGTAAGATTGGAATTACTGACGACTCGTTTCATTTGGAAGACAGTAACTCCATTTATCTGCACTTTGATCTTTGCAGACCATTTACATTCTTTTAAAATCAGCTACAATACACACTGCATGAATGCAATATCCAAAATAGCATATTAGGGGCACTTTAAAAGGTTAGTCCACCCAAAAATAAAGTAATTCTGTCATTAATAATTGGCGTCACTCGTTCCAAACCCGTAAGACTTGCGTTCATCTTCGGATAACAAATGAAGATTCATTTTTGATGAAATCTGAGAGCTTTCTGTCCTTCCATTGGCAGCTAAACCACTTTGACGCTTCAAAATGTTCATAAAGAGATCGTAAAACTAATATGAATTAGCGATTTAGTCAAAAAATTCTGAAGAGACGCCATCACTTTATATAATGAACAGATTGAAATTAGACTTTTATTCACATATAAACTTTGATCAGCGAACATAAACAGAAGCTCAACCGAACCTACTTGACACACGAGAACACACACTAGATCTTGCTGAAGCTCAAACGTGCCGCGTAACAGGAGAATGAACCTCATAGCAGCCATAACACCCTGGAACCCATGGGCTCCCATTTCTCAGGAGGTCTCCCATCCAGGGACTGACCAGGCCCTGCTTAGATTCAGTGGGGAACCAGTCTGACCAGTTTACTGCTGGAAGAGGTGTTAGTGAGGCCAGTAGACGGACTTATACGGCACCATTTATTTTCAAGTATTACAGCTGAATCTTAATGCCATCTTTTTAAGAATGTAAGCCAGTATCACTAATATTACATCTACTGATGTCTCCAAGAAAATGATTTTTCCCCAAATTTTAAACATTAGGCTTTAAAAAATATTGCACACCCGAGGTGGTAATGCGGTCACAACGCTTTACTCCTCGTGTGTGCATTATTTTTCAAATAATTCAACGGCCTGAAGTCAATTATTCCGCTTATACTACAGTTACCACACCTCAAAACATTGTTCACAACATGATGCATTTCAAGACTTTTGTCAAGTTTTTGTCATTAAAACGCTCTAGTATCTAGGACAAATTTCTTACGCATCTAATTCCATGCCTCTGTTGCTAATTCCAAAACGTCATTTTTGAGGTTTGAGCCACTGATAGCAGGGGACACACTTACAACTCGCTGAAATATTCGAAGACCGACTGTTTCCATCGACTGTAGCAGGTCTTATTAAACACCAACTGTGAACTGTGAACTTGAGAGAACTTGATACTGGCGCGCGTCTTTCTGACTCATGTGTGTGCGCATGCACGTCAGGAGGACATTCACTGACAGCGCGTTCTGTTTTTCTTGTCCCGCATGAGTGTTTTGAAGCATTAGCGTGAATAACAGCATGGTCATAACCCTAGCTAAAGGATGACACAAAGAGCAGATGCTGCGTTTGCATTAAATATTTTAACACATTAATGCTGGACAAAAATTAATCGCGAAAATAATTTTTTTTTCCCCTCACGGCCACACGGAGATATTTTAAGCCCTGGGCACTCACCATGTGGTCTGTGTGGGTCCTAACGCCCCAGTGTAGTGACAGGGACACTATACTGTCAAAGAGCAACGTCCTTCGGATGAGACGTCAAACCGAGGTCCTGACTCTGTGGTCATTATAAATCCGGTATCCTGGCCAAATTTGCCCCTTGGCCTCCATCCATCATGGCCTCCTAATCATCCCTATATACTGATTGGCTTCATCACTTTCTCCTCTCCACCAGTAAGCTGGTGTGTGGAGGGCGTTTTGGTGCAATATGGCTGCCGTCGCATCATCCAGGTGGAGCTGCACATTGGTGGTGGTTGAGGAGATTCCCCCTTCCATGTAAAGTGCTTTGAGTACCCAGAAAAGAGCTAAATGTAATGAATTAATTATTGGTTCTCGCACATCAAGCGAACAAGCTTGAGGTTCTGTCTCTAACAAGTGGTGTGAGTTGATAAATGTTTATATGTGAATAAATGTAATCTGTGCATTATATAGACCATTTTGCAAGATGTAAACAACACTGGTCCAGAAGCACTTCCTGTTTCAGTTTTTTAACACTACATAAGAGCTGGGATTAAATACAACCAACAGAACATATAAAACCGAATCAAAAAGTTAAACAAACATCTTTAAGATGTTTTCTTTACATGTGAAATAAAGAAAACAGTTACAAACTGAAACAGGAAGTGTTTCTGGACCAGTGTGTTTTACAGCTTGCAAAATGGTCTATAAAGTGATAGAATCTTGAACCGCTCAATTTAAAAGGATTCGTTTTACGATCTCTTTATGAACTTTTTTAAGCATCAAAGTTGCGTAGCCGGACATTTAATTTGTGTTCTGAAGATGATTGACAGTTTTGTGGCTTTAAAACAACATGAGGGTGAGTAATGACAGAAATTTCACTTTTGGGTGAACTACCCCTTTAAGAATGAAAATACACCACGAGACCTAAACTACATAAAGTACAAATCTTGTCACCTCAACACAGTTCTTCATGCCAGCGGCCGCTGCGTAGTGCAGGCAGGTGCTCTTCCTTTTGTCGGTGGCGTTGACGTTGACTCTCTCATACTCGCCCTTGTCCAGCTTGGCTCCGGTCCACTGCAGGATCATCTGGAGGCACTCGGCCCGGTTCTGCTGGTCCTCTTGTGGGCGGCTGATCCGTGGCTGAAGCGCTCCTTCACACAGCATGATCTGCGGACCCATACACAGCAGGTGCAGTGCCGTCTCATTGTGAATGTTGCACTTGTTGGGGTTTCCATCTTTGGAGAAAAGGAAAGACCTGCAGGATAGGAAGAAAAGAATGGTACAAACTGTAATTAAGAATTACATTTAAGAATACAAATTACAACAGCAACATAAACAGTAGATGCTATGAATGAATCAAAATGCAAAACACTGAAGATTAATAGTCTAGGCTTAGTGCATATTCATTTTGCACACAATAATTATTTTGATTCAGGCTGATTCTTTAATGAATCATTCATTTAGGCTGTAAACAGCTTTATATGATTCTTTGAAAATAACCAACTCAAAAAACAAATCATTTTAAAAATCAGGCACTACTATGACTTATTGCTATTATATTTAGCAATATACTGCTATATAAAATTGCATATACATCTGCTGAAATTATAGATAATAGGGGGCTAAAATAGAGGGCTATTTTAGTACAGTGAACACATTGTCATGTTCAAGAAACCAATTTAAAATGATTCAAGCTTTGTGACATGGTGCATTATCCCGCTGGAAGTAGCCATCAGAGGATGGGGACATGGTGGCCATAAAGGCATGGACATGGACAGAAACAATGCTCAGGTAGGCCGTGGCATTTAAACGATGCCACATTGGCACTAAGGGGCCTAAATTGTGCCAAGAAAATTATTACATCACCATTCACCACCACCAGCCATTACACCACCACCACCACCAGCCTGCACAGTGGTAACAATGTATGATGGATTGGATCCATGTTCTCATTCTATTTACGCCAAAATTCCAGTCTTCAACTGTCCAATTTTGGTGAGCTCTTGCAAATTGTAGCCTCTTTTTCCTATTTTTAGTGGAGATGAGTGGTACCCGCTGGGGTCTTCTGCTGTTGTAGCCCATCCGCCTCAAGGTTGTGCGTGTTGTGGCTTCACAAATGCTTTGCTGCATACCTCGGTTGTAATGAGTGGTTATTTCAGTCAAAGTTGCTCTTCTATCAGCTTGAATCAGTCGGCCCATTCTCCTCTGACCTCTAGCGTCAACAAGGCATTTTTGCCCACAGGACTGCTGCATACTGGATGTTTTTCCCTTTTCAATTCACACCATTCTTTGTAAACCCTAGAAATGGTTGTGCGTGAAAATCAGAGTAACTAAGCAGATTGTGAAATACTCAGACCGGCCCGTCTGGCACCAACAACCATGCCACGCTCAAAATTGCTTAAATCCCCTTTCTTTCCCATTCAGTTTAAAGTTCAGGAGATTGTCTTGACCAGGACCACACCCCAAAAAGCATTGAAGCAACTGCCATGTGATTGGTTGATTAAATAACTGCATTAATGAGAAATTGAACAGGTGTTCCTAATAATCCTTTAGGTGAGTGTATATCTAATTATCTGAAACTATAAAAATGTATATGAACTATAGACATTTCCATAATTTAAGATTTTATTAAATCTCCTTTCCTGGAATTTATTTTTATTTGTTCTTAATTAAAATCTGTGATTTATTGTGATTTATTATAAGTCATTTGCACCTTATTTTTTTTAAATAAATGTGGACGTAGACAACAATAAACAAAAAAATTGTTATGCTGTTTGATATTGTAATCTGGTATGTCATGATGATCGTAATCAAACATGCTCTTTTGTAGTGAAAGTACTAAATATATATATGGAAAAATATAAATATCTCATACCAGGGTAATTATTAACGTTAACTAAAACTATGAAAATTATAAAATTATAACGTAATAACATTTCTGTAAATTGGAATACAGATTAAATAAAATAAAGTTGAAAAAATTAAAATTAGAAATGTTTCTTTGGAAATAAACTGAAAAAAGTTTAAAGTTAAAGCATTAAAATGATTAACTGGAAATAAATAAACTAACTCAAACAGCAGTATTTAAAACGAAACAAAAAAATAATAAAGACAAAAGCACATAAGGAAATTACAAAAAAAAAATCAGGCTAAACTAAAATTAACATGAAAACTAAAAATACAATCTAATTCAAAATATTAATAAAACATATCACTGAGATAAAAAAAAATATCACTGTGCATAACCTATTATCAATACTCATTGATTTTGCATGATTAAAGCCTCAAGGGTGCCAAGCAGTTATATGCTGAACAAGAGTTATTAAAATTTTGTAAATTATGTCATGCTGTATTGACCAATAAGCATCCAAGACCATAACTCTCAGGCATATCAATTTTATAAGCATCTATAAAACACAGATACAGGTCGAATTTAAAGCCAACCTTTGTCCTCCCAGAGCTATTACTTGAAGAAATACAGGCGAGCTAGTGCTGGCATCTCATAACACATGAGAGGGCATCATAAAGATGATAAAAAGATGGAAGATCATAACCACATTATCAGTGAAAATGTCATGACACTTTTCCACACAGCTAGAATCCTCAGTGTCTCCCAGCCTGATGACTGATATCATTTCAGCCAATTAAATGTGGGAGCTTCAAAGTAGTTGATAATGCACCCTAAAATGGACTTAGCAAACTTACATCCTCGTAAGATTTAAGAGTGAAATTGGCGGATGCATTCAGCAGGCTCTAATGCCTTTCATGGAAATGACTCAGCGAGCTGTTCTGGGAAGTCGGATGTGAATCTAGCACTGGGAGTTTATTAGTTGATGCAACTGAAAACAACAGCTTTAACTCCCTGCATTCCCCAACTGCCCCCGAGAGGCCAGAAAGACTGGTTGAACTGCTAAGAAATTGGCACGGACACCTGTTAACAATGCAACCCAGTGAGATGTAGGACAATAATGACATAACCACATCATGAAATGCAAAGCCAAGCATTTCATCAGGAATGACACCAACATTCAAGAATAAAGTCTAGACAAGCATGTGACAGATATCTTGTGTTATGTTCTGCAGTATGCTGGCTAATGAAAGTGTAATCATACTAAATACAAGACCACACATTAGGCCAAATGTCAGAGCTACACATATTTCGCCTCAGAAATGTTGGGTGTAGTCTAGACCGGCAGGCTGTTTTTACAGGAATCAGTAGCAGATGAAAAGTGAATCAGAATTCCAGCAACAGGATCCTGAAGTCTGAATTTAAATGTTTAACCACTTCAAACTGGCCGTTCTAGCGAGGGAGGTGTTTCTAACTATGGTGTTTGTAGTTTACTCAACTCTTTGTTCCCAAACTGTCAAACAAAGGACACATTTTTGAGCTCTAATTTGGTTGACTGACGTTAAAGGGATAGTTCACACAAAAATCCAATTTCTGTCGTTAATTTCTCACCCTCAAGTCGAGTTTTGTCCATCTTCGGATCACAAATGAAGATATTTTTGATGAAATCTGAGCTTTCTGTCCCTCCATTGACAGCTACACCACTACTACTGTGATGCTTCAAAAATGTATAAAGAGATCATTAAAGTAATCCTTATGTATTGAGAGGTTTAGTCCAAAGTTTTGTCCAACAGAGGGACAGAAAACTCTCAGATTTCATCAAAAAGATCTTTATTTGTGTTATAAAGATGAACCAAAATCTTGTGGGTTTGGAACATAGACTGTAAAAAAAAATCTTGGGACTTGAGTCTGCACAGAAGCAATTTCGGGACCAGACATGCACAGTTGTGAGCAGGAAGTAAAGCCATGAAATCAAGGCCGGCCCCACCCTCACTCTCGCAGAATCAATCGCAAGCACATGCTCCTGCACTTTTTAAAATTAATTATAGAAATTTAGATATTAAATATAAAGCTCCGATCTCCTCAGTCCTCCGAAGATCCCGAAAAAAGTCTGTTGGTGCTTCAGTGACTACTTCGCTCAGAGAACCAATCATGATGTCACACCACCAAATCAAATAACTAACTAAAAACAAACTTATTTTAAAAACTAACACTTCAAGCGTGATGTAAATGACAGAAATCATCTTTGGAAAAAAGTTGTTTAGTTGGTCTCACGTGCCGTTGAATAACACAGGGAGGCGGGGTTTATGACCTATACTAGGACCGGCCAGTGGGGGGGCGATCGAGACGCATTGGCTTCACTTTTCAGGGCTTGTGCGGCACACTTGGTTTGGAACGACATGAGGGTGAGAAATTAATGATAGAATTAGATAAGAGAATTAAACACACACACACACACACACACACACACATATATATATATATATATATATATATATATGTGTGTGTGTGTGTGTGTGTGTTGTTTAATATGGAGGAGATTCAAGCTTGAAGCACACACACACACATATATATATATATATATATATATATATGTGTGTGTGTGTGTGTGCGCTTGAAGCTTGAATCTCCTCCATACAAAACTCAAAACAAATGCGCAGACTGGGAGGAGCAGTCACACGCAGTTCAACGTCACTACATCTTCCGCCCCGGACCGGTACTTTAGTCCGCGGTGTAAACGCAGTAAGCAAGCGGTCTGGGGCAAAAAAAGTTCCTATGAAAAAAGTTCCTGGGACAAATAGTTCCTGGGACAAATAGTTCCTGGTAATTCACCTTTGGCTAAGCCACGCCCTAGAATGTAGATTGACCAATCACAGCACAGCTAAGAACGAGCTCCCACAGAGGTCGGACACCTTTTCACAGCGTTCTATTGACTTTCAACACAGGCCTCTCGTATTTTTGGTCTCGGCAGGCTATTACCGTTGAATGGTTAAACGTTGTGCCTCGGACATTTGTAACACAGATACGAGTTTCCCAGAGAGGTTGGAGGGGGGTGTCCGTTTTTTCCCCTTCCCAAAACTGAAGTAAAATCCTGACAAGTGTCGTCTTTGGATTAAACTGTATGGACGTCCTCAGTCAGCTAACGTTAAACGCCTCAAAGATCAACAAGCACATCTTTTTTTACTTCTAACCTTACTGTGAGTGTGAAGTTATACTAGTTAGACCGTTTTATAATGTTTTAGGTTATGATTTTGGTTCTCATACCGGTTGTTGATACGCTAGCACACGCTGCTAATAAATACAACGTTATACTCGTGTAGTCCGTTTGCTTTGTAATAACGATTATAGAAGTGAATAGAGACCTACCCAGTGTTGCTCCCTGATATTGTTAGTCCCAATTAGTAGGAAATGCGGTGGTTAATTTTTTTTGACTGTGACCAGTAACGTTATGCTTTTGCCTCTATTTTGGACGCCTTGCTGTTTCTTGCGTTTCACCTGTATGTCTTGAATATAGCCTTCGAACGCATATTGCAGCCCCTTTTGCCTACTTCTATCGGACACTTTATTTGCTGCTTTATAAAGTTCGATAATATTTCAGCAGGATGAGCTGTTACAGCATAAGCCACGCAGAGCGCAGATGAAGTTTGACGGATGTAGCAACAGTAACTAAGGGGGGCGGGGCTTAGCCAAAGGTGAATTGCAGTGGAAACGCAGATATTGACTGCCATTTTTCCAGTGTTTACCATCCAACAATTTGTGGAGAATGCTGAGCGATTTTCCCCCCTTTTACTGTGGTATGATCTGCAAATCTGCACAGTAGAATAAACTGAGGTTTGTCACTTTACGTCTATCAGTTGCTCTTTCTCTGTCTGCATAGGCCACAATTAGCAGCAATTTGGGCCAGAGACCCTACAGTGTTTCAAAGGTACAGTTATGCCCGGTATTATTATTGTAAACTAAACCTAAAACTATTTGTCTGTTAATTGAAATCAGGCTCTGCAATGATTGAGGTTACTAGTAGTGTGCTCCAATGTGCTGTAAAATAAAGAGAGGACACAGAAAGAGGAGGGACAGAGAGTCCTCAGTGGCCAGCTGTTCTAGCTGGTAATTACCAACCATTATCTCTGAAGGGTGCATTAACTACTACACTTGCAAGTAAGAGTTGGCTTCATAGCTCCAAGTGATCTTGACTCAAATACCAAACACTGGAACTCAACAACCATGCAAAAATAACCTTGTATTGCACAAAAACGCCACAGGCTCTACACAAGCTTCCCATTCCATGCATATTTGCTCTAGGACTTGTCTGTTAGGGGCCAACATGGGAAAGTTGTTCAGAGTCGTTTTGTTCTCCCTGAAGCATCAACCCTACAAACCCAACTGTGCTGTTAATGTTGACATACTGTTTGGCTTTCCCCATGACATTCAAGGTACAATATATAAGAATTCTGTATCAAAATATCCCAAAAAACACATGCACAGTGTTATATATTTATTTCAATTGTGTTCTTGTATTACCCTAAATGTTTCCAAGAATTTGTAAATTCATAGAAATTCACAATTTTAAATGGTGCCCGTCCCTGTTCACTTGTCGCCTGTCAATGACATAATATCAGCGTTATCCTTGGTTTCCGCTCTCACCACCCTAGTAACCATGGCAACAGACGTAGACAACTGCGTTACGTCTAGTGGCAGGCTCACAATGTTGTCGTTTCATTCAAACATCACGGACCATGGCTAAAGGAGAACTAAACTGAGGATCAATATCGGCGTGGCGTTTTGCCGAGAGCTAGCATCCGCGACCAACTTCGACTTGACAGAGAGCATATGTACATAAAACTAATCAATGTAATATAGCTCAACATGATGAAATGTTAGAATATGATCAGTATGTTATACTAATGAATAACATTATATCTTTCAACACACTCAAATGCATTCTTGCTCTCATTAGCGTCTCAGAGTCATGTTAAAAACATGAATGTTTTCTTTCATCCATAAAGATTATTAGATCAGTTGGTATGACGACAAGTTCCATGATTTCACTTATCACTGCATCATCAATCTATGCATTTGTTTTTGTAAGAGGTTAGAGACCCCTAACGGAGAAAAAAATGACATATTGTAGCTTTAATACAGTTTAAACAGTCTTAAAATTCTGATTATCTATTAACAGAAATGCAATATGACATCATTTTCAGTGGTGTATTAAGAACTTGTATACCGTAATGTTTTTATTACCTTAGAATGAGACAGACATTTGTATCTACATAACCGTGGGCACCCCCTACAACAATAACAAGGGTTTCTGAATTCTACACTTAGCCCAACTCATGCTTGTATGCTTATGCTTGTGCTTATGGATGCTTATGCTTGTATTTGGGGGTGCCCATTCATCTGAAGCTCTTACCTGATGAGGCGCGTCATGGCATGGCGTGAGGCATAGAGCAGTGGTGTGTTGTGTTGATAGGGGTCCCCATAAGACGCGTTTGGCTCCAGAGACTCTTTAAATTGGGGGTTGCTGTCATAGAGCTGACAAGCCAGGCCTTCATCTCCACTGATAAGTGCTTTACGAAACTTGGTGGCGGTATTTCCCATGGCGGGAGCTGGACTGGGACCCGCAGAGCGGCCCACATGCAGTTTTCAGCACTCAGCCAGCGCAAGAGGGGCGGGCCGCATACCGCAAGTCCTGTAAACACACCAACATGGTCGCAGTTATTGGCTGCATGGTGTGGCAATGGTTATTTGACAGTGTGATCATCCCGTGTGCATCAAGGGATGTAAAATCAATGTGTAAAATCAACAGCACCATTTTGCAATCTCGATTTAAAAGTATGAGATCAGACAATCAGGTTTTGCTCTGTGCTGCATTATCTCTACGCCCACTACTAGTCTGTTCCCTTCACCTTTTTAGGCTTAAAGCTAAAGTGCAACATTTCTGCACCACAAGCATCCAAATGTAAATGTCAATTGTATTTATTTATTTATAATTTAAAGCCATATCAGCATCAAAGGCTATATCCAAGGCAAACTCTATAGCAGTAATAAATGATAAACAACAATACATAATACAAATAATAAGTTATATATTTGATAAAATTTCTAATATTGTCCCAGGAGAAAGCTTTTTCAAAATTCAATAAATATACATGGGAGGAAAGTCTTGTGTGACCAAATCAATATCTTATAAACACTCTCTGGTCATTTCTATTTTCAAAATGAAAACAATGGTTAGATCTTTTATTTTTAATGGATACATTTCATATAATCTATTATGGACACATTCATCCCATTTGGCTGGAAATGAAAGATCTTGAAAGACAAATTAAAGGGACACTTCACCCATTTGCATTAAGCTTTGTATCTTTAGAAACCCAGTAATATTTTTGAATGGTCATGGTTAGGGCCGTCAACTTTAGTCGTTTAGTCGACTAAAGACGGTCGATGCCGTCTTGGTTGACTGACATTCTTATTGGTCGACCAGTTGCATTTTTATTTTTACCAATGGAAAGAAATTTTCAATGATCTACTCCTTGATATTTATTCCTTTATAAGCAGTTATATATTACTGTATTCTAAATATAATAAGCTTATGTTTTATCCCCATCTTTAAATGCTTTAATTTAGGCTATTTTGTAACAGCGCCACAGTTTAGCGCACACACACATAGAACACTCGGTTCGCATCTGTGGCTGGCTGCGCTGCTGCTTCGCGCTCAGTAAAGGATATAGTTTAGCTGTATTCATTCAGTTAGAATGCTACTTGTTTTGGTTTTTATGTTTTCATAGACTATATGTTTTTTGTTTTTATCTCAATGCTGCCTGGACGCACTTGAAAAAAAAAAAAAAAGGAGCGCGTTGCTTCCTTTATGAGCGCGCACACCACGCGCCAACATTTGAAATCGAACTTGAGCGCGCAAAAGACGTGAGCAGGCAGTGGGCACTTTAAAGGGATACTCCACTTTTTTTTGGAAATAGGCTCATTTTACAACTCCCCCAGAGTTAAACTGTTGAGTTTTACCGTTTTTTAATCCATTCAGCCGATCTCCGGTTCTGGCGTTACCACTTTTAGCATAGCTTACATACATAATTGAAGTGCACAAGACCATTAGCCTTTCTAAAATAAAATGACCAAAGTGTTTCGATATTTTTCCTATTTAAAACTTGACTCTTCTGTAGTTACATCGTGCACTAAGACCAACGTAAAATGTAAAGTTGCGATTTTAAGTTGATATGACTAGGAACTATACTCTCATTCCTGCGTAATAATCAGAAAACTTCCACTGTTGTACCATGAGTGCAGCAGGCGTAATGTTATGACGTAGCGCCTGAAAATAGTGCCCAGCTTCCAACATGACCAGGACTAAGTTTGTAGTCATCACGCCTGCTGCACTCATGGTACGGCAGTAAAGTTTCTTGATTATTACGCAGGAATGAGAGTATAGTTCCTAGTCATATCAGCCTAGATAATCGCAACTTTACATTTTCCGTCGGTCTTAGTGCACGATGTAACTACAGGAGAGTCAAGTTTTAAATAGGAAAAATATCGAAACACTTTGGTAATTTTTTTGGGAGAAATGCTAATGGTCTTGTCCACTTCACTGATGTATGCTAAGCTATGCTAAAAGTGGTACCGCCAGAACCGGAGATCGGCTGAATGGATTCAAAAGAGGTAAAACTCAACAGTTTAACTCTGGGGGAGTTGTAAAATGAGCCTATTTCCAAAAAAAGTGGAGTATCCCTTTAACGGCTTTAACATGCTGACTCAATAGATTGTGTTTTCTTCATATGTTTTTGTTTTTTTGTAAACTTGATGCATTTGAAAATAGCCTAAATAATGTAACAAAGCAAAAATAAACCTATATGCGGTCCTACAATACAGCCTATTATTATTAGGATTGTCTTTTAGGCTCTTTGGGTTTTTTGTGTGTTTGTTTTAAAACGCCTAGATCGGCTGGACAAAAGTTAACCCATAGCTTTGAAAGTAAATAAGAATAAACAGCCTGTATAAACGAGAGCTTTTATGTTGTCTTACTAACAAATATATATTTTCTGACAAGAGGGCACCAAATTCAAAAATTATTTTACATTTCGACTACATATATGATCCACTTTCAATAAAGATTAATGTTGAAATGTGTGAAATGCTCCTTTAAATCATACACTTTCCTTGTCCGTCAATGGCCAGCCTTACAGATAACCCCGGACAATCTCACATTATTGGTTGAGATAACATTACTGTTTGAATCGAATCGAATCCATGAAACATGAAGTCTTTCTGAACTCTGAACTGAATCCTTGATATTGATTAAGAAGTCTTGATTTTGTTTTCGGTCTACTAGATTAGGTAATGTTAAAGAAAAAACGTTATTTTCCCACATATTGTCCATTGTTGCAGCTCCTCTCTTCCCAGTCTGTCAGTAACGCTCTGTTTACTTCCTGTCTCTTTGAAGCCCCTCCTTCTGAAAAGCACACTGTGCTCTGATTGGTCGGCTGGATCAGAGTGTTGTAATTGGTTAAGCGCTTCCAGCATGTTTGGGAAATGCCACACCCTTTACCATATCCATGAGTTTAAAACACACTACTAACTAACTCAACCAGATTATTGGAAGGAAACTCAATGCTACAATGGAGGCGTTTCAGGATTTCAGAAACACTGACACTGAAATGGAGAATAACTCCCTTTGGTTTGTAATTTTGCAGAGCTTTTTCAAGCTCAAACAGCAACATTACACACTAAAGAAAGTTGAACATCTAAAAAAAACACCATAGGAGGGCTTTAACTTGAGCACTGCATGAGACATGTCAGTCTAGCACATGTTTACATAGAAAATCTAAATCAGTTCTGTGTTAACAGCCCCATATAGGCATATTAAACAGTAAAACAACCATTCCCTTTAGCTTTACCGATTACTCATATGAAGCTACTGTACTTGTGTGGGAAAAATAAACAAGCCACTATTCAACTCTCATAACTCTCTTATGGAAATCCCTAATGAAACAAAACCAGTCAGCTTCACACAACACACTCATTTGCATATGACCACATTGTGCAAATAACAATCTTGCACAGGTGCCCTTATCTGATCTTATAGTTACACTTTTTTTCTAAACATGTCCATCAGATAAAACTGCCGAGCGTCTTTTTGAAAAAAAAAAAAAAAAAAAAAAACTGTTCAAACTTTTTTAAAAGGATGCATGACCTAAGGGATATAATGTTTCATCAGCAAAACAACCAGCATGCATCACGTCACGCTCTAATAAATCTACTTGAGAGGGTTGTGTGAGCAGAGAGTGGCAGCAGGTGCACCGATCGGGCATGAGTGAGTGGGAGCACACGCTTTTTAGGTCATTCTGTCTGCTCTGTTGTTCTTTTCCACATCATTTCATATAAACGTCTGTGGAGTTACACTAGAAACAAAGCACATTTCAGAACATTATAAATGCACTCTTGGACTTGTGGTCGAAAGGCTCACTTTCAGGTGGGACGTCTGAGAATGCAGAACAGATGAATTAAGAGCAGCACTTGGCAGGCACACAAAGAGAAGAAGGAAACGTTTCTGTTCCACAAGCTTCCCCCACACCAGAGCTCAATCATTAAACATACTGTGTGTCCATTAACGGTAAAATTCCATTTGCATTCATTTTACAGGCAGTGGGCTACTTCTAAACAATGCAGGCTTTGTGTTAAAAGATGATCCTCAACTGCTGTGCCGTTTTCACTTTTAACAATGTCTGAAACTCCAGGCTAAATAATAACCATGGCCGACAGGAACAGCATGCAGTAACCTGACATTTAAAGTGACAGTACCAATCTACCAAGCCTGTACGAATGTCTTTATAGCATGAAAGACCAAATGAGGAATGTCAGTCTGATTTATACTAGATGGTCTTACGTATAAACTTATTAAAATACACTTATTATGTACATGCACACTGGTCATTGTATTTGTAACGTATGCAACTACACTGTTAACTTTAGGCCTAACCCCAAAAAACTCTAATCCTAACCCTAACCAAATGTGGGAATTTTCCAGAACGACATGTAGTTAGACAGAAAATCCATAGTCTTGAAGGTTATGTTGCTTTAATGTTAGTCAATAGTACCGAATGGTGACATGCTGAACAACATCTCCTTTGTTCTTCAGAAGAAAGAAAGTCATACGGGTGGACTACCCAAACATGGAGACAAACTAAAAAAAAAACATAATATACATAAACAGTTTTTAGATTACTTTGTGGCTTTGAAAAGAAAGCAATTACTGACAATATCCCAACAGACACCAAAGCCTGACTTTCATATAATCCATCCCAATGTATTGGATTAATACTGCACACTAGCTCTGTGAATTGCATATTTGTTTACAGTGGTGGTGGAGTGGGTTTCTCTCTGATTTCTCATGAAGCATTTGTAACGACTGTCTAAGGATTAAACCAAAGCTCTGAAACTCTGGCTGCAGTTTTCAAGGATGCATTTACTGTGTTGACAGCAGCTGATCAGCTCCATCAGTTCATCAACACCGGACGGTGTATGACTGACAGATCGCTATACCAACAAACACGTTTGATAAAGCAGAGCTTTAACCTTCTGAGCTGGTCAAGCGGAGATTTGCAAACCAAGGCGAGTTGACAAGAGCGATCAACACACACAAACACACACACGTACCTCATCACTGACGTATCCATGAAGCGTTGACACATCAAATGACCAGAGCAAGCGGCGTGTCAAAAGTTTATATCGAGATTGTTATCAGGCAGCAGACCTTCGATCATGTTAGCGATTAAGTAAAAAGAAATGATAAAGAACTCTATAATCATAGGGGTGGTGCTCGTGGCTGTGTTTGCTGGTCATGCTCTCATTTCATAGGACAATAATCTGCGTCTCCTTCGCGGTGCTAAAGGCAGATGAAGGACCGAGTTTGAGAGTGACTCGCCGCCACCTACCGCACAGGAGGATGCACAGCTAAAACTGAAAATAATAAATAAAAGAAAATAATAATATACGTATATATATAATACATTACAATACACACACACACACACACACACACACACATATATATATATATATATATATATATATATATATATATATATTATATATATATATATATATATATATATATATATATATATATAATATATATATATATATATATATATATATACCAGAGTACTGAAAGTGAAATAATTCTATAATGGATTCAAATAAAACAAACAAACAAATGTATTCTGAAATAATTAAATAATTATTCAAATATTAATTTAATTTAAGGAATCATTAATTAAATAATTAAATAAATCAATAAATAAATGTGTATAACTATCTTCTAACTATATATATATATATATATATATATATATATATATATAAATTCAGGACTAAATTAATTGTATTTATTTCATCATTTCCAACTCTGTATTTTCATTTTTCTTTCATTAATTATTTTGTGTTTTGTGTATTAATTTTTAATTTATCTCTAAATTGATTTATGTATTTAAAAATTAAATATTTTATGTTTGTTTTTTTATTTACGTGTATTTTGCATAGATTTATTATTATTATTATTATTCATTCATTCAATTTAATACTGTATATGGTAGATGTATTTTCATTGATTTTCAATAGTTGTTTTTTTTTTTCAATAGTTTTGTTTCTTATTTACAGTTCTGTGCAAAATAAATCATTAACTTTAGACTACTCAAACGCAGAAGAAACATTTGGTTACAACAGGGTTACAAATATGACCAGTTGGAAAAAAACAGGCAAAATATCAGATTGAAAATCATTGGCTCATTATTTGCGCCACCTAAAGGAAACTTTTATATCGACTCCAAAGTCCAAACTCAGTCTTTGCGCTCGAGTAATTTTGTGGAAATGTGAACAATGAACTGAACCAGTCTGGCTATTGTGATATTTAGAGAGATGTTATGTAAATCCATGTGTCAGATGATTTATATCAAATACAGGCTGATGTAGCTAAGTACTATTTCAAGCAGCAGTTAAAACAGATCACGTGTTGAGGACAGCAGTTCTGTAGCTTGTCACTTTCCTTGTGATTTACACATTTTGACCCACTTTAGACCTCATTTAATTAAAAGATAAATAGAAAATAAAAGACATAATAAAAGAAAATAAAATAGAAGCTTTGGTTTATTACTGGAGGCGTATAGGCCTATACACATTCTCATGCCTTAAACCTGTTACACCCTTTGGTCTATTTGCTTGCCTCCTGTTAGGAAAACAAAACGAGAGACTCAATGTTGTAGCCTACTGTACATAACCATAACATGTGCTGTGCATGGAGGTCTGAGACGTTTGCATGCCTTGCTCGGTTAAAGTTGACATTACCAATAAAACACAGGACTGCATTGCTGTGATTTGCATCATTTATTTCACATACAGGTGTTTTGGGAAAGTTTCTGAAGAACCAATTGTTCCTCAGTACACTTCAAATAAAGACAACTGAACAGATTTTTAAAGACAAAAAAGAAAAACCCAGCAACAAAGCACAACTCAGGAGGACATAAACTTATAAGTTCACTATTAAACCCAAAGATATTGCCCATTTCTGCTGACCAACTTGTGCCTGGCATTCCCATGATTCATTCAATAAACACTCAAGCCACAGGGCAAATAGGAAACCTGTCTAAAGCTCAAAAACTAAAAATAAGGAATAATGCCAATTAGAAAAGAGGGGATCATAGCAGTTATGAAAACATGGAAGTCAAATGGACTTAGAAGATAAAATAACACTGAAATAATATATAATTGAAAAACATCTATTTAGATTAAAAAAGCAACATTCACTACTTTGCAAACGACTGGTTTAGAGATATCATCACACATTTTAATAATCCATTTCAAATGTATACAAGCAAACTGTGAGAGAAATGACTCATATTTCAATTTTAATAGTTAATTAAGGTTACCTCATAATTCTTTAATATCAGCAGGCTTAATCGCCACGCTGCTGCTTAGCTGTGACCTTCCATCGTTTGTTAATAGGTTGTATCAGTAAACAATACTTTTATGCAATAATATGGAACCTGAAATGTATATACATATGCCATCTGAGACCCCAGAACACTTGAATGTGTTTGGTCACATGGGTGGAGGATGATGCGTCATGAGGTGACCGGGGAATTGGGAAGATGTTTAAAGCAAATGAAAAAAATGATCGGCCCGTCTGGAGTGACTCACGATATAATATTAATGATGTCAAGAGCTTAGTCTCGTTGATTATTTTACAATGAGATACTAAAGCTGATTATGTGCATTTGTTGTAAAAAAAAAATGTTTTTAATTTAAAGGTGTAGTTCACTTTAAAAAAAAAAACCTTTGATAGTTTACTCAACCCCGTGTCATCCAAGATGTCCATTTCTTTCTTTTGGATTGAAAACATTCCAGGATTTTTCTCCATATAATGGACTTCAATGGGGTCCAGACAGTGCAAACTGTTCAAAGGGCTTTAAATGATTCCAGACAATGAATAAGGGTCTAATCTAGTGAAACCATCAGCCATTTCAAATGTAAATAAAAAAAGATTTTATTAGCACAAATGCTCGCCTTGCTCTGTTCTGTGATGCACGTTCGTGACTCTCCTGGTCGAATTCGTTTATAAAAATTAACAAATCTTTTTTAGAGTCAATTGGTTCATTCATCGAACAAAATGACTTGATTAGTTCAAAGATTAGTTCATGTTGATGAACGTGTTCGAACAGGAGAGTCACGAACGTGCATCACAGAACAGAGCAAGGCGAGTATTTGTGCTTATAAAACTTAAACTTTGTTATTTATTTTTTAAATGACAGATGGTTTCGCTAGATAAGACCCTTATTCATCGTCTGGTGTCGTTTAAAACCCTTTAAAGCTGCACTGAAACTTTCATTTGGACCTTGAACCTTTTGGACCCCATTGAAGTCCATTATATGGAGAAAAATCCTGGAATGTTTTTATCAAAACCCTTAATTTCTTTTTCAACTGAAGAAAGAAAGACATGGACATCTTGCATGACATGGGGGGTGAGTAAATTATCAGCAAAGGTTTTTAAAGTGAACTACTCCTTTAAATAAGTCTATTATATAAGTACTTGCATGGTGTAAATCAGCGAATTTTGCATATAGACTTTGTGCCAGAATTCTTATTCCATGGAGAGAAAAGCATACTGGACGATTCCAATGAGTCATTAGTAGTTTATTTGAGACATTTAAGCTTGCCTTTCTCACATTTCTAGTTAAACTAAACAAAAGTATGAGTTGCAGCGTCCCGATGAAGCCATGCACCGTGGGACCAGCATGCAGAGCAGAGCAGCGCGACGAGACTCGCTCCAGACGGCACCGGCTCTCACTAACTCCCTCCACCAACACAGATTTGCAGCATCTCAACTTTCCCAAGTTCTGCGACAAAGCTGTCTGGAAAAATGTTACGTTTACCGCCTTGCTTAAGAGAAAGAGACCGAGGAGCAGGGGAGAGAGAGAGACTGGGAAACGGTTTGAGATTTAACTCTTACAGGAATGTATGATGAAAGTTAATGAGATAAAAAAAAAAAGTTTCATAGGATATTATTGTATGTACGGATGTTAACTGTTGTCACTTATAATAATAATAATGATGTATGAAATTACAAAGAAAGGCGTGAGATGAGATGGTTTGCATGTATTGCATGTTCACAGTATGTACAACTGAATATTCATGCTCATGTGTTGTAGGGGATCATGGCTGTTTCCTGTGAGAGAATGGCAGGTCTGAGGTGAGAGGTCAGTGTCTAAGGGTCACAGTGAGTTAGATTGAGGTCAGACTCGGGGCAACTGCTTTTCAATGAATTCCTTCACGGCAGACATCTCCTGTAAAGCCAATCAGAGAGCAGTATGGGTGTTAGTAAAATAATATAGTTTGACATAACTACTGTACAACATATAAGACAATATTTTGCATGATTTCAGTTCAGATCTCATCCTATTATTGGTTCACAGGAGTTTGCTTCTAAAGTTTACTTCTGAGCGATATTTACGATACTGTTTTTCCCAGTTCTTTTCAAAAAGATAATACATTTATTCTGTTAGGATATTAAATTTGATCAAAAGGCAAATGAAAGACAAAAGTCACTTACAATGTCAGATTTAAATAAATGCTTTTTTGAACTTTTTACTCATGGTTTTCACAAAAACATGAGGCAGCACAACTTTTTTTAATTTTAACAGTGATAATAATAACCATAAATGTTTCTTTAGCAGCAAATCATCATATTGGAGTGATTTCTGAAGGATCATGTGACTCTGAAGACAGGAGTAATGATGCTGAAAATTCAGCTTTGATCACAGGAATAAATTACACTTTAAAAAAATATATTAAAATAAAAAATAAAAAACTTTTAATATTATTTCACAATATTACTTTTACTATATTTTACTGCATTTTTGATCAAATACATGCCTTGGTGAGCATAAGAGAAAATCAAAAGTTGCTCATCCATCTGAAAATGCAATTTTTGATACCAAGAGAGCAGACACAATAAAGTTCTCACGCTATTCTTCTGGCACGATCATTTTATTAACAAAATATCCCACCATGCAGTGTTGAGTCTCAAAATCACATGGTCTAAAAGCAATGGTCATGTTTTGCAGCAGGACATCAACTGCGAGTTAATTTTCAGGCATCTGAACATTTCTCTTTAGCAACACTATGAAAGTCTATAGCAGGCACACCAATGCCGGGATAACCATACATATCTATGGGTACAATATGCGTCACATGACTAGTAAACATGCGACATTAAAGGGGGGGGGGGGGTGAAACACTCAGTTTCAGTCAATCTCATGTTAATCTTGAGTACCTATAGAGTAGTATTGCATCCTTCATATCTCCAAAAAGTCTTTAGTTTTATTATATTCATAAAAGCAAGATAGACTGTACTGAGTCTTTCCAGAAAAAAAACGAGCGGGTGGAGGCGTGCCGTGTGGGCTGTGTTTGGTCACATGATGAGCTGCGTTTAGTGCAGATTAAATGGTCTAGAGTCACTCGATTTTTATACTCTTTTTATCAGAGTACATTTTAATTATGCATTGATTTAAACAGAAAGTTAAAACAAATTTGGAAAAATGTTTTTTTTTTATTTTTATTCCTACCTACAATACCTTTAATTAGACTAGTTAACTAAGCTACTGTTAATAAACTGCACTTCTACAGCATTGTTAATGTTAATTTCAATATTTAGAGAGTCCGTATAGGCCCACTATATGTGAAGTAGCCACTAAATAAGCGCTTTTAGTTTCATTTTTGTTAAAATATTATAATGTTATTTTTTTACATCTATGCTGATTATGAAAATTGAACAGCATGAGTAAGATGGGCAATATATCGGAAGATTTGATGGGTCAGACATGATTTTGACCACTAAATTAAGTTTGGTTTAGTAGAAAGCCTTTCTTTAAAGTGAATTTCGATTTTGTATAAATTGTATCTTCAGAATCAACCAATTCCCTGGATATAATAAATAAGAAGCAAATATAGCATGATATGGAGGCGCGGGCGAGGGCGCGGTTGCATTGCAAAAACTGGAGCACATCTCATTATAAATTTTGCTCATTTAAATAATAGTAGGTGTGTGTGTATTCCCGTCGTGTTGTTGGTCACCTCGCCCCCAGTCCCCGACGTAAGGGTGACGTGGTAAAAGAATGGTTCTCTGGTTCTAGTCCAGCACAGAGTTGGTGCTGCTTTGGAACCAATTTTCCTGGCCGAGAACCGGTTCTTTGGCTGTCGAAACATAAAGAACTGATTCACGAGTACCGGCTCCGAACCGGCTCTCAAAATGCTTTGGTGGAAAAAGGGCATATGTGGTGTATACTGGAAGTGTAAAAATTATATTTGCTTAGCAGTTTTTGTAAATGACTAATTTTCACTTAGTCGTTGTAATTTTTTTATTTTTTTTTTTTTTAAGTGTACATGTGGGAAGTGTAGTTTGATGCCGACTGAGGCGGGAGTTTTTTAAAAGTAGAAATGATTTGATCTTGAGCGCAGTGTTTTTAGAACACCATGTCATGCGCGAGTTATAACTTACAAGTTTGTGTGTGTTTACTTGTGGTTTATGAGGGCATGATTTGGTTTTACAATAAACAAACAGAGACCTACAGTGGCCAGCTAAACAAATTTATTTAAAGACATTCTTGAACAAATCCTATGCAGTGCTGCCGATGATTTCCTGTTGAAGCACATTGATGTGTTTGTTCTCGCTCTCCTCTGGTCGACGTGTGCGCGGGCGCGCTTTTCCGAGAGAAATGCTCATATAAGGAGTTCCACTCTCGTCTGTCATTAGATCCCCGATCGAAAAAAAAACCAGCCGAAACTTGTACCAACCCGGAAGATTTTCAGGAACAGAAATTCTCTTTTATTCGTCCAAAATATATATTCTTTAAACTTTGGCCATGTTTAGCATGAGAATCCATCTCTTTAACACTGTAAAGAACTCTGAATACATAAAACACCATTGTACCCCTGTTTTAACCTACTACTGTCAGCAGAAGAAAGTTTTCAAAAACCTTAGTCTTCATTGACAAAAAAAAACGTATCAATGTGGACAGAAGGCCAAAACGGAGAGAAAAAGATGCGTTTTCAAACGAAGACGTATTAGTGAGGCCTGAGGCTTCTGTGAGTGCAACAGAAAGACTGACCTGAGGACAGGAGCTATGCATGAGACCCGGGTAGGTGCGGAAGGTGATGTTCCCTGGAGAGACGATGGTCTTGAGCTTCTCTGCTGTCATGGCCCCGAACTGCACAGGGATCATGGGATCCATCTCACCATGACACTGCAGAATGGGAGTGCCCTTGTTTCCACTCCCACTTGCAGCCTAATGGAGAAAAAGCAGATACATATTGACATATACATCAGGGCAGGGCATTGACACCTGTTTCACGATTCGAAATCAAATCACAAGCTTGCGATTTCAATTCAGCAGTTTCACTGGTCACAATTTTGACATTGATACCATGGGGAAAAACTGCCAAATAGATATATTTTATATTATCTCTAACTATAATTCTACAGGTATATTAGGCTGCTGTCACTTTAAGACCTGCCACACTGATCCATTATACTGTTACACGTGCGCTTTCTTTCTCAACGGTTTGTGTTCACTTAAAACATAACCGACTGTGTTTATGTGAATACTCGCCTAAACCAGCATTTTGACATTATTATGTGTGTATTTGACTGTTTAAGAGCAATAAGCAGCGAAAAAAAACTCAATTTAGTACTGTGAGGTGGCTTTATGAGCTCAAAACATGCAGGAACAAGAACATTTATTCGTAAAACAATCCTACGTCGAAATTCAAGCTAACAATAAGCTAACACCAACAATATTCATCCGAAGCAAATGAAACGAGTGAGTGAGGAGAGGCGGGCTTGTGTGTCACTCGCTGTCGGACAGATATATACTGTGTACTGTGTGTGCGTATCTATACTGTGGAAAATTAGTATTGGAAGCGTTTCAGATCGATATGTATTCACAACAGTACATTGCACTTAGTTGATCAATTCAGATGCCTTTTAAAAGACTAAAACTTAAAAATGTATTTTTATATATCAAATTTAACCCGCCAAAGTGATTGCGTTAAACTCTACTGCTGAAATGCATGTCAAGCTCTGATTATACACACATTTATTCTCACACAAACAGTAAATGTCTTGTACCTGTGGGAAAGTCTTGTGAAGTGGAAGCCAACAACTAAGTCCAACAACACCCGCTAGTTGCTGCTGAGAGGTCAGGGCGGTGTAGAGAGACAGAGCTCCACCCTGAACATCAAACAACAAACCGGAAACTGAAGATCAACTGCACCCTCAGCAATTTAACAGATCCTACAAACTTTCAGGAGGGATCACTTACCTGAGAGAAGCCACCCAGAAGAATACGATTAGATGGTATACCATTCTTCACCTCGTGATCAATGATGGCCTTTACTGTTGAAGAGAGGGAGCGGACTATACTTAGCGCCACATAATCAAATTTTAGCATATAACAATATTCTCTCGCATTACATGTGTTCTTCATTAACTTGATGGGTTTGTTCATGTGGTTTTACATTGGCTGACACAGACTAAGCCAATTTTTGGATGTTTTTAAGTCATGTACAGCTTATGATGTATTCACTGTGCATGTGTGTCATAAAAAACAACTTCTGCTCACTGTTCTCTGCTGCTCTCTTAATCCCTGCTTCATCCTCTGGGGATTCTGGGCTTAAGCCCATCAGGTCAAACCTGAGAAGATGAAAAATTAGACAAGAATTAAAAAAAAAAAGGACCCAAAAGTAAAAATCCACTAGTGGAAAATGGTTTTATTTTGAATTTTTTTTAATAGTTTACCCCGTTTTATACAATATTAACAAACCATTAAAATATTTGGCTGATATATTAACATCGAAAAGTAAAAATGTTGCCTTAACTTTTAGTGCTAAAATCATTTAACAGAAAATATATGAAACTGGCCAAAACTAAAACTGAAATAAAAAATAAATTAAGCCTATATAGTATTATTTACAAAAAGCACACTAACTAACTAAATTACAAAAAAATCAACTGAAATTAACAAAAATAAAAATTAAGGTTATTAAAAATATTAATAAAAATATAAAACTTAAAAAACACTGATTAGAATATATAGCCGTGAATGCTCATCAAGGCTGCATTTATTTGATTAAAAAAATATAATAATAGTGAAATATTATTTAAAAAATATTAAAGCTGTTTTCTATTTAAAATATTTTAAAATGTTGGTATTTATTTTAAAATGTAATATATTTTCTAGGGCTGTCAAACAATTAATCGCGATTAATCGCATCCAAAATAAAAGTTTGTGTTTACATAATATATGTGGGTGCACTGTGTATAATTATTTTGTATATATATAAATACAAACACATGCATGTATATTTATGAAAAAATATTATTTATATATATCAAATATTTATATTTATATATAATATAAATTATATATAAATCTATATACAGTATATACATGAAAATATTTTTTAAATATATACAAGCATGTGTGTGTATTTATATATATTAAATAATTATACACAGTGCACCCACATATATTATGTAAACAGAAACTTTTATTTTGGATGCGATTAATCGCGATTAATCGTTTGACAGCCCTAATATTTTTAAATAATTTATTCTTGTGATTTCAAAGCTGATTATTATATTACATCAGCAACCTGACAACTGAAAAATCCTTTTTACTTTAACCGCAACAAAGTCACATGCTCAATATCACAAATGTAATTATTTGATTAAATGACCTAAAATAGAGCAGAATCTGAAATACTACATCATAAATTTCCTTTGTTTCCTTTTAAGTAACTGTTCTAGAGCTGTAAAGTACCCGCAGCAGAGGCAGCTTACCATGAGGGCATGGTCATCTTCATGTTGAGTGTTACAGGGATTCTGGGTCTGGAGTCAGAAAAAATGACAGACTTCTTTTGCAATAAACTACACAATACTTCTTTATTGCATAACAACCAACACATCTAAAATGTTTTGCAAGTCACTTACGCGTGTGGACAGATGTATTTGATATACGGCAGTCTAATAGACGTCAACGAATCAGCCCAGCCGTGTCTAGAAGGAACATGAAAGGGTTATTTTCATGCGAGGGCCATGGGAAAATCAGGCAGGTAGTGAACAGAACTTACCCTGTGTCACCCAAGCCATGAAGGAAGATCACCTGCAAAGTTAACAGAATGTGATGTGAAACTAATCTCTCTGCAAGGCCCAAAAGAGGACCGATTTCCTGTGTTCGATGCTGACTCTTGGTTATTTTATATGAAGATACCATCGCAATAGCAAGCTTGAGCTCTCTGTGTGCCTATTTCCTCTGATAAAGAAGGCAACAGATAGACATTCAATCAGACTGTGAAAGAGCATCGCTATTAAAAAAATACAAATTTACTCACGTAGTTCCAAAACCATTACACTTTAGTTGATGTTTGAAACACAAATGAAGATATTTTTAACGAAAGTCCAAAACTTTTAACTTGAAAGATCCAAAAAGGTTATAAATGTGTTTTGAAATGAATCCATATGAACTGGATGGTTTAACCCAAGTATTGTGAAGAGATATGATCACTTTATATGATGAATAGATTTAATTTAGGCTTTTATACACATATAAACAAACATACATAGAGAAAATCACATATGCTAAACATCACACTCTGGAACAAATCTCATTGGTTCTCATGCTCACATTTTGAGTGTCCGTGTTTACAATACTTGATGAGCTCTATGCATGTGTCCGTCATTGTTTAGATGTGAATAAAAGGCTAAATTAAATCTGTTTACCATATAAGGGATCTCTTTAGGAGACATGGGTTAAATCATTTGACTTGATTTTTGATGCCTTTTATGAACAGGAATTTTCCATTTTCAGTCTTTCAGAAACCTCTTTGACTTAATAAAAAAACATCAATTTGTGGTTTGAAGAAGATGAATCAAAGTCTTATGGTTTTAGAACAACATAAGGATGAGTAAACGATGACAGAATTTTTATTTTGGGGAGAACAAACCATTCAAATAAACTTGAAGCCTGGCCTCTGTAATGCTAATGAATCTCTCTAGAGCAACATCAGATTTTGGTTAATGATTGGACTGTTCTCTCACCACAGCCGTCTCCTTCTCCGTCCCAGACACGGTCACGGCTTCAGCGAGCAGAGGTACAGACATGTTGTTGCCACACATACAATGTGAGGAGTGCTTTTAGAAAAATACAAAAACAACAAGTTCAAAAGCAATCAGCACAACATGTTAATGTAAAACACAAAGGCCCAGGCATGTATGGGTGAAATGGTTATTAAAGATACAAACCAGCAATTTTAGAAAGAAACTGTCAGCAGGCTGCAGAATGATTAACAAAAGTTGGTTTAATTGCCAGTGTTGTTAGTCATTTTAACTAGCAAGCCCATCTAAAAGTGCTCTATTGAAAACTAGACTGAGGAAAAAAAAGTGAAAAATTACAGGGTGATTAAGTCACTGGATAAGCACTGACGCTTATGTTAATCATACACGCAGAGCTTCATTTTCTTCAGATCACAAGTTTGTACTTGCAGACGTCTGCTTAAGACGAGTTCCCAGAAAACTAATGAAGCCTAAATGAAAACCACGGGTCCCTGTTTTCCTGGAACCACATGACAGTGCTGAGAAATTAAATCTTGACAGTTGCAGGAGGCAAAACACTCCAGTTTAATGGATTCACTTGTGTTTGTGAGAGGCCTGGGTGACTGTGACAAGAAATAAGAAAATTTGGCCGATCGAATCATCGAATGGTCGATAAATAATGGATTATTTCCTTCATGTTTGACTTGAAGGGTTTAAATTGCTTAAAATATGGTTAGAAACATAAAAAAAATACAGTGAAGTGTAAAATGTGCAGCACATGTCTGTCATATAGGCTAAATAAAATTATGAGAAAATTTTGTGTAAATGTGGATTTAGATTTATATATCAGTTATCTTTCAAATATAAATAATTATATGTTATCCATATCAGCCAAATTTGTATAGTGCATCCCTAGTTTCAAACAAACACTTGAATAAACTTTATGTGCCCGTCTGAGTTTTTAATCGGTCAGTCTGACTTCCTAGACTTTAGTACTGGCACATGTTATCAAATACTTATACCACCTGCTTATGGAATCTCCACAAAATACCAGAAGAATATATGAAATGACTTTTCCAATGAAACTGCATGGCGTCTTAATATTATGCACCAGTTTGAGCGTCTGCCACACAATGGCTCATTGATACACATTAACAAATGACTGTATTGATCATCTCTAATGCGTCAGTTCAATAATCCGTCACATGATGAACACCACGATCATATATTCACAAGGAATAGGAAGGGATGGGCAGTGAAAACAATAGAAACTCATAGGTTATTTTTTCAAGCCTGATGGAATCAAGGACATGATTCATGTATAAATAAAGCCGCTAGGTCGTTTCATTAATACTCGAGCGACATGATCGGCAGCTTAATCCTGTTTCGCCTGTAACGTTATTATTGTCACAATGAACCCACAGCATCAGAGACAGAGCTAGCTGGATCTCTCTACCCCCGCGATTAAGCCCACTATCACGCTGCTCAGCGACAAACTTGCGCTTTTATACCGATCGTTAAAGCCAAGGTCAGTGGGTAGAATACATTTTAGTGTTCAGGCAGAAAAAACAGATATAAACAGCGGTTAACTGCAACAAATGTATTGACTCACCGCTTGCTATCCCAGGTCACAACGGAACTTCCGCTCTTTCTGCCGGAGAGGGGCGGGGACACGGCGACGTGACGTCATCGCGTTTCTGCAACCGCGTAAGCTTAAATGTTGCAAAAGCCAGCAAACTGTACCTTATTTTGTAAATAAGGTAAAAGTTTAAAATTCCGGTTCCAATTTATTTGTAAAGCACATAATAAAACAACAGTGTTGACCACAGTGCTGTACTGAAAGTACAAAACAAAAGTATTATAAAAATAAATAAACACTAAAAACATCACTTTTTTTAAATGTCTAAAGGTATAATACAATAATTTTTTTGTTGTTTGAAATCTATTAAACAAATACCACAACAGACCCAAAATTATTTTAAATATTTAACTTGTCAACAACAAATTGTTATGCATAAGTGAGGAAAAATGGGTTTGTAGTGATGGATGCTCAAAATAGTGTCATATTCACTGCTCCAGTCACATTTGATTGTATTTTTGGTTACACTTTATTTCAAGGTGTCTTTGTTACAGTGTAATTCTATATTTAAGTACTGATAATAATCAACAATATGTACTTACTGTAGGGTTAAGGTAGGATTGGGGTTTGGTTGAGTGTTAGTTGTATGTAATTAGTTTACTGTTATCACTATGGTAAGTACATGTAATGTAACAAGACACTGTAAATTAAAGTGTTACAGAATTTGTATTTAACTAACAGCAGCATAATGCATAAGTTGTTGTAACATTTCTGTGATATTATGAAATGCCAAAAGTGATTGAAATTAACCAGAAAAATTCACTTTTAAACAAACCCCAGGAATCAATCAATATTAAACACTTTGAGGACCCGAGTAGAACACATTTTCCTAAATGGTTTTTAATCTCACATTTGAACCAAATAGTGCAAAAAAATATTAAATGCATGAGTACTACATTAGAATACCAAACTGAGAGCATAAACTTTCCACTTGACATTTAAAGAACAGACTTCTTGCATGGCTCATCTGTTCTGTTATTTGAAGCGTTTATTTGACATAAGCATACATTTAGTAATATAAATATAGCTTAATGTTTATTGGCAAATTAGCAGATAAACAAACCATAGTAAATAAATCCTCTGGCCGTTACCAAAACTCATGCACACTTTTATAGTTTGACACAGCAGGCGTGGGATTCTCTCTCTTCCGTTTGTCATGATATGAACTGTGTCTGGGGTGTAATGCTCTTCACTTTGTGATCTGCTGGATTGGCTGCTGCTTCGTAGTTGCAGATTGTTACCTCATGTCTGTGAGCCTGAAAGAGATAAAAAGATACTAGATGAAGGATTATCTGATCCTATTTTCCTTTCCAAAATGAAACAAATATTTATAAAAACAGCAACACTAACATATTATCATAAGTATGTAGTGCATTTCCAACCAGTTATTGTTATAGCAGAACATGTTTAATCCAGTACTGACCTCTGTGTATTCTCCCCGCAGACCAATGTAATACACACGAGTGGATTCTGTCCCAAAGTTTCGAGATATGTGGATAGATAAGTGCTCAACATTGGAGAATCTCGCAATCCTATTTAAAATGTTGGAGGTGGTCAACATAGGTTTAGTGTACAGTATAATTAATGTTCTTGTGCATGTTAACATACTTAAAATTTGCTTACTTGGTTGGATACTCAAGCTCGGCATGCGGATCCCTGTTTAGGCGAAAGGCTTGTTCTGGCTCTCTGCTTGTATCATCAAATGACATTTGGGGTATGTTCTTGTACCTGATTAAAAAGCACCAGTTGCAGCATGTAAATTGTAGTTGCACTATCCATATGTGACGCTGCAAGAGAGGTCTCATTTTACAGTGAGAGCAAACTCACAGTCTCATTTCAGCTGGGTGTGACTCATCATCTTCTCCAGCAATAATGATCCCTTTCAGCTTCACGCTACCTGTAAACCTGCAGATTTAACCATGGGCATTAAACACATCCACGTCTGCTGGCAAATTGCATTAAATAGAAATTGAATAAGAACAGAACAGAAATTGAAATTAGTCTAGGAGGATGAATGCTGCTGCAATATAATGCTTACGGTATATTGAACAGAAGCTCCTCGTCAGCATCACTTTCAACAAACTGAAAATGACATGGGAGACATCACATAACTGGTACATTACAACAAACAGAAGAGCAATCTGATAATAAAACAGCCAGTGTGTTTAATTTCTCTATTCTTAAATATATAAAACATAATTTACGTGTGTGTGTGTGTGTGTGTGTGTGTGCTACACTACACGCACACTTATTTATATGCATTCTTGTTCATAATATATAGACATACACACACACAATATACAACAAACAAAAGGTGGTAAATCTTTACTTTTAAGATTATAATATATGTGGTGGCTTTAACTTGCTGTCAAAAACCTCCTACAAAACTATTCTATACACTGCGTACCTTCGTCCTGTCAGTGCGTTGATCCCAAGGCTTGAAGACCAGTTTCCCGTCTCCGTCTCGGCTCTCGTTCAAACACTGAAGCTTCTCGATATCAATGCGTTTGTACAGCTCATATTCCACTCCTCGCTCAGCAGGCTCGTGCTCGCATTCACAGCAGCCGTGACCGTGGCCGTGGCCGTGACCCGACATGGTGTGTGTGTGTGTGTGTGTTTGTGAACAACGGAAAAAAGTGCCAAAACACTCACAACTATGTTCTAATGGGAGATATTCGACAGCTCGAGCGATTTCTGTGACATATGCTAAAATCGCAGTTACACACACAGGTGGTGGAAGCTACAAAGTAGACAACACGCAAATATGAAAGGTGGAATATGATTGGACCTTAAAAAGCAAGGGAACCAATGAGGAGCCGAAATGGGAGTCGCGTTTTTGTGACGCAATGGTCGCGTCTGTGCGTCAGCGTAAATAAAGTGGAAACAAAGCAGTCCGTTCAATTATTATTTTTTTTGTCTTGATTGTAAATTCGTTTTCAGTCTGATTTGATGTGTACATGTCTGCCTCTGAGAATTGTAATTTCATAATATTATAATATAAATTTCAACACCCTTGTTACATTAATTAAAATACTTCTCAGATACCATCAGTAAAACGCAATACAGCTGTATAATTTGCTTGTATTATATAATATGTTACAGGTTACTATTATTCAATTGTATGTATTATGTGCTTTTTTGGATTTAATATGGTTCTGCTGTGTTGAGCCAACAGTGCCAGTTTTTTCTGTATATTGACTGTTTTATGTCGTTTTGTTGTATTACGATTTTGCATTCAATAAGGAAAAAAACAGTCTGTTCCAATAAAGTAAAGCTATTAAATTAATTGTAATTATATACTCACTGTTCTAAACCTCTAATCTAGACTTAAATACAGCAACTCGCTTTACTTTCATTTTATAAAAATAAATAAATAAATAGTGAACTAGCCACGAACATCTTTTGTGTTCCACTGACGAAAGAAAGTCATACAGGTTTGGGACAACATGAGGATGAGTGAGAAATGCCGATATTAATTTCAGGTGAAAGGGCAGAGTGAAGTTACTGGATCATAACCAAAACAATTCAGCATAAAATTATATTAAATATGCATTCATACACAAATAAATAGGAAAATAGTGAGAGCAACACATGGATTTTATTAAAAATGTCCATAGAACACTTCATAAAATCTATTAAAATGACTTGATCTTTCATTCAAGGCAAGGTCCAGGGCTGCCAGGTCCAAGATTTAAAATAATAAATATAATGGTGAGGAAGTGTACAGTCCTTGAACTTTTTACATCTTATCTCATTCTCACACTACCATAAAACCATATACTTAGCCCCATGACGATGCAGTGATTATAGTTTACCAATTAAATAAACACGTAACAGTGAATCTGGTTTGTGGTGTCTCATTGTAATCTGTAGTGTACCACATGTTTTTCGGTGTTTGAAAAAGCTTACGACGTGCTATGACAATTGAGTGTGGATGGTTGCTGATGCTGATTTTTTTTTTTGTAATTGCATCCACTGAGCTGGTAATATTAAACTGTACTGGTAATATTAAAAAGCATTAAAACATAAGAAGTGAGAGGGCATTGCACATTTCCTAAGAAGCATAACAGAATAAAAGTTTTTTTTTTTTCCTCCAGTTGTTGTCTCATATCACACACACATAAAACATTTTTCCCTTTTACCGGCGAGAAAATCTGTTCTTGAATGCCTTGATAGTCTTAGCCATCATAGGAGCAATTTCTGAAACAGAAAACACAGAAGTGGTAAAAATGTCCAAACATAACCAGTTCAATGGGCAAATATTGGACATGATTTTCTCAACACCAATGGTTAATATACAGTAGTGGTTAACAGTGATGTCTGGCATTTGATATTTGATTTTAATGACCCTACAAGTTTGATTAAACCATCCAAATGTTTTAAACATAAGGGAAGAACAAATCACTTAATGTGGGTAAGGCATTTATCTGACAAAATAATAAAGCTGACAGGAAAAATCATACATTGATATTGTTTTTGCACGCGTTCATAATTTCTTTGCATGAAAAGATTATGTACAAAAATGACATCCATACAATTTAGCAATTGACGATGTAATATGTTTACGAAATCTTTAACATTACAATAAAAGCTTAAAGGAGTAGTTCACTTTTAAAAAAAAAAAAACTCATCAAAATGAACAAATCTGTTTCAGAGTCATTTGGTTCATTCAACGAACGAATTGACTCAAAAAAAGATTCGTTCATTTTGATGAACGAGTTCAAACAGGAGAGTCACGAACGCGCATCACAGAACAAAGCAAGGTGAGCATTTGAGCTTATAAAACTTAAACGATGTAAATTTTCTTTAAATGAGCGATCGTTTCGCTTGATAAGACCCTTATTCATCGTCTGAAATTGTTTAAAGCCCTTTGAACAATTTGCACTGAAACTCTCATTTGGACTTTGAACCATTTGGTTCCCATTGAAGTCCATTATATGGAGAAAAATCCTGGAATGTTTTCATCAAAAACCTTAATTTCTTTTCGACTGAAGAAAGAAAGATATGGACATCTTGGATGACATGGGGGTGACTAAATCATCAGCAAAAGTTTTTTGAAAAGTGAACTACTCCTTTAAGTTCATTTTCCTAGGCCGAACATCACTTTTGGCCACTACTGTGCAATACACCTAGCCTAGAAATCTAGACGCACTCTAACGGGAGCAAATTAATTTTGCAGTCAGGGCGATCAAGCAACTCTCCGTTGGCTTGCGAGATGGAAAAACCAAACTCTAGCCAGGCTAATCACATCGTGTATAGAGTCGGCGGGCGGGCTTTAAATAACGATGACAGAGTTGCGACGGTTCCTTGCTACTTAAAGAAAGAAACTGGCGAACAGCGGTATTTCGAATCGGCTTTGGCCGTGAATCTGGAGGACTTTGAGTTCAGCTTTTCTTTGAGAAAAGCACTGCACTTAAGTCAGTTTTAAAAAAGGAAAATGTGTTCGTAGCTTTGCCGACCAGATACAGCAAAAGTTTAATCTATCAACTAGCTCCGCTGGTGGGAAAACGCTCTGGTTGGTTGCGCTATCCTATTGCGTGCAGAAGGAATAAAAGACAGTGGTTTATCCCGCCCCTCGGATTGAGCTCTGCCAATGGTGAGTTCCCAGACCCAACATATTGATGTGGGTCTAGCCTGCCAGGCTACAATACACCCATTTCTATGAAAGAACTCATTATATAACTAGGAGCTAAGTATACATAGCTGTAGATAAATGTGTAACAGCAGCAGCTGAGCAATCATGTTTATTTTGACTCACTTTTGACTTGTGGTTTGTCTCTGGCACTGTGTCCACCAGCAGTGCTGGGAGCAGAGGAGCGTGAGGAGGACTCAGGGGGGCTGCTAACAGAAGACTGACCAACCTCGGCGGGTTTGCTATGGGAGCTGTAGTTTGTTGCTGGTCTGATCCTGCATATGAAGAATCAAGAGTTAGCATCATAAAGTCAGCATGAAACAGAAGTTGCGGTAGTCTTCTCTTCTCATATTGTGACGTATATCCAAGTGAAATGGCTTCTCGAACAAGTATAGGGCAGGACTTCATAACAAAAACAAGTAATGTCCTTTAGGGTGTGTTCACACTTGAAGTTTGCTTGACCTTTTAGCCCTGGTCCGCTAAGCATTCACACTGGCATTTTAAAACCGACCTTAAATACATAGGGATATGTTCAACCTGTTAGGTGGGCTTTTATTATGTATATATTTCGCAATGGAACTTATGCCGGGTTCACACTGTAAGATTTTGGCTATCTGAGACAAATTTTGAAAATCCTAAAAGATTCCTCTGATCCTAGGCTAAAATGTTAAGTCTTTGATCGTTAATTTGACGTGTTCACCGAGAGCCGATTATTAATGACCATTGTGCTAAAATTTTATTCTGGCAGTGTCAGAAGATTTGACTCACAGTCCTGCAGTGTGACTTCTGCTATGACAACGAACAAATTGTCTTCATTTTCCAAGACAAGCCATGACCAAAATTAACATTAGTGATTTCTTTGTAGCCACCATTTCAATCCTGCGCGTAATGCAGCTCACAGTCACTGAACGCATAACTGATTGATGTAAAACTCCGGAAGAGTTTCTTGCGTGTAAATTTTTAACGCATCTCGACTATCTCACAGTCTGACATTAATGAAAACTTGGATCTTATAGTGTGACATGGCATGTTCGTACTAGAGCCAGACCGATATTAGGCATTTTCTAAAATATCGGTATCGGCAGTTATAATGGCCGATAAATGAATATTTCAAAAATATAATAAAAATGGACGAATCACGCTTCAACCATGTCATGAGTGTTGGAGTTGTATAGTTTGTCCATCAGAGGGCACAATACACCGTCCCTGTTGGCAACACTCGTGTATAACGCACCACACATCCTGCAACCCGCTGATCCAGCCAGAGTCAGGCAGAGAGAACCAGTTTTCCGTGAGTGAGATAAACGGTGAAGTGTGTTCATGGTGAGTTGGTCACGAGACATACATTGCTTGAATAACAATTACTAAATGTTAGCTTTTCTTTTACACGTGTGTGAAATCCAACGACGCCAAGTGTGCGTTGCAAACTGTCGTTCTGTAATGGATTTAGATTAGAATCGCTAAATAGTAGGTTTTTGAAGGCAGGCAGCAACTGATGATTGAAAATGGTTTGATGTAGCTTGATGGAAAGAATTTAAAAAGTGCAGGTAAAGGGATAAGCAAGCTGACATTGTAATTGGCTTTATGCACAGCTACACTACTTCCTGAACTTAAGCCAGCTCCTTGTTTCCTGTCTGCCATTATTGGTCAAATTGATTAATTCAGGTGTGTCTGACCTCAGTAGTCACAGCAACAATAATCAGACACACCTGAATGAATCAAGTTCGGCCAATAATAGCAGACAGGAAACAAGGAGCTGGCTTAAGTTCAGGAAGTAGTGCAGCTGTGCATAAGGTCAAAGACAATGTAGGGACTAATTATTATTTTATTTATCAGAACTTTAATATATTTTGATGTTCCTCTGTTCTGTTGTGACAATAGAAACAAGTTTCTTTTTAAAATGCATCATATTATTTTAGTTAAAACTACACTGTGTAACTCTTATAGTTTATTGTTAGCTAAAAACACTTCTTTCAAAAATATATGTGCTCATTAATGTATATTTACTTCGTTCGAGTAATAAAGTATTCTCGTGAGTGAATAATATGCCATTGAAAATACATACGGGTAAGCGGTTCTAATGTCGGTCGCCATGTTGCCCCTCCATCTTGAAAGTACATTAGCCAAAGAGGGACATACCCGTT